GTAATGATGATCTATGCACATTTAAAGCACTTGCGCGCTTCCGATTGAAAGGTTCGGTTCGTCACGAACAGACTGATTAACACTCTCCACGTTTTCTACCGTTCTTGATGACCTTGGTCGCCCGGATTTTGGTTTTTCCAGCGTTGTACCGGTCTCTTTAAACTTTTTGACCCATTTTCGAATAAGAGGAATGCTTGGCGCATCATTTAAATGTCGAAAACCTCGAACACTACAGAACCTTCTACGCGCTACAGTCGCCGAATCACCGTTTTTGTAAAACTCTCGCACGCACAACGTACGGTCTGCTCCCGAGAAACGCTCCATAGCAACTGAATTCCCAAGAGCCAGGCTACAGATTGACATAACCCCCGCGCCCCTCGGACTCGTTGCGTTCACGCAGTAAGCTAAATAAATATAAACTTTCTTTTGAGACACCTTGTATAAGAGATTTCCACGTATATAGTCACTCATCACGATATCTCTGGAACCATTAGAGCTAAAGACTTGAAATTTGGTAGGAATATTCTTTTCACCGAGTAGAGGTCAGCTAAGAACGGATTTTAAGAAATTAAAAAAAAAAGAATGTAAATAGCAAAACAACGTTTGCAGGGTCAGCTAGATATTTCTATGCATTTTTAAGTTAACAAATATAAATGTGAAATTTCGAATAGATACTTAAATGTTTATATGCAAAAGAACAAGCTACACAAAGCTACAGGCGTCCACTGGTATTTAGACCTAGCGTGGTACAAACCTTACATAATAACGGTTCAAGTTATGCTGGACTTCTAGGTTATCTCGTGTTCATATTAATAACCACTTCGGGATTATCACAAAGATGGATAATATTAATAAAACTGATATCGTTATTAGTAACTATAAAAATAACGATATTATCACTTGCAAATAACCGCTAAAGATAAGACACTCTTATCTTTAGCGGTTATTTGCTAAAACACACCGATGTAATCAGTTCGGCGATTACAATTCAAATCATTAATTTATCAAAGACATACGAGTCTGCGGTTTACAGGTGTAATTCAGTTATATAATTCTGTGAGACTTGATATCGGTATTCTCTGTATCAGTTAAATTAAAACATTTATCTAATCAAAGTCGATATCCTTACGTCCTTTCATAACGTTAATGTTGTGTTACTTAGCCAATTTGTACATTTATTTTATCATCAAAGTAAATATCCTTCTCATGGTATGGATTTTCACCTCGCATCGTCCTAAAATTTTGTATGTAATGTATGCCACATTTGTTTCTACACGCCATGTTTAACCCTTCTTCATGTCTAAAGCGAAATTCGCAAATGTGACAAGCCTAAACTTTAGTAATTCGATTAATTGTTACTATTTATTTCTTATTATCAAGTGACATGGTTACTTAATATATTTATGTGATGATTCGCCGACTGGATCTAAATATGTTATAAGAAAAAATGAACTGTTTGAATATTTACATTGTTGAACGTAACGTAAAGAAATCGTTTACCCGCTGGAGCCATTGAATTAAAAAAACAAAAATTTATTAACGATGGGTTTCTGTGATGACGTGGTATCACTCCTATGTTTGTTGTGTTTTTCCTATGTTATTGGCAGATCTGCTTTGATTTATTCCTTGAACAATTTGAAAAGGCGCCAAAGTCACTTGATAATAATAAAAAAAAACACTATAATCTATCTATAATACTCTTTAAATGAGCAATTTCAACTATAATATTGTTGTATCTCTAGTCATTTTATGTGTATTGTGATCGGTGTGAATAAATTAAATTTAAAAATATGGTTTTTATTTAAAGACTAGCTGAACTGCGCAACTTTTCCTGTATGTGTGTGCTTTGCAACATCTTTAATCGATGCTTGGTTCCTATTGATCGTAGCGTGATGTCATATAGCCTATAGCCTTCCTCGTTAAATGGGCTATCCAACACTAAAATAATTTTCAAATTCGAACCACTAGTTTCCGAGATTAGCGCTTACAAACAAAAAAAAACATACTTTTCAGCATATTAAATGTAAGCACACTAACTAGTGGCATGCTGTAGCGGAAACCGTTACTATTTGGCGGAACTCCAACTAATTTTTGAAATAAAACTTCTTTAGGCACGCTTGACTTGGGGAGTAAGCTAGTGAATGCGTGACGAGAGCGTTACGAAAAGTGTGATCGCGCGAGGTGAACGGGAGTTGAGAGGGAGATATAAGTTAGTGAAGATAAAAGAAAAGAGAGTTACGTTTCGTATATTACTGTAGGGGCAAGAAAGAGAGGTCACATTTTCTTTCTCTCTTTCTCTCATAGCCAAGAAGTTTTACTTCAGTGGTGTGGTCTAAAGCATACTCGTTTTTTTTACATTGAAGTTGTGGATTTATTTTGCTAAACTTAAACATTAAAAAATATATTTTTTTATTTTTTAATATCTATATATCTTATCCATAATATCATTTCATATTATCTTTAATATCTATATTTATATATCTATTTTTTAAATCCTGTGTCGCGGGGGACTTTACAACGATACATGAAATGGACACAAAGTACACCCAGACTCAGAACAACAATTTGTGGATCACACAAAGTGTTGTCCCATGTGTGGCGACCGCTTAAACCACTACGCCATCCGTGCAGTCAATAATACGTCATATATAATGTTGTTTGTTACTAGTTGGATTGTTCATAACAAAATTCTAAAACCCATTGAATGCCGGAACTAGCACCTCATCGGTGCCTCTCTAGCGGTCATTAATAGAGTAGGGAGTAATTAAAACGCAAAAGTAGCTGCGTATATATGTCATGCTGTTATGACGCCTAAACTGCTGAACCTGTTTGATATGTATGTAATGATAGGTTTGACCTAATTACATCAAAACAGGTTTACGTCTAATAATGAACTAAAATATGTTACATAGAGAGAAGCGAAGACAAGGAAGAAACTTGGAAAAACCAAATACTCTTTGTATGTGAACAATGTTCCCACTGACTAGGTTTTTTTTTATGTTAGAGGGGGCAGACGAGCAGACGGGTCACCTTATGGAAAGTGACTATCGCCGTCCATGAACGCAATCACAAACTCAGGAGTCACAAACGCGTTGCCGGCCTTTTAGGAAAGAGTACGCTCTTCTCTTGAAGGTTTGAAGGTCGTATCGGTCCGGAAATACCGCAGACGATAACCCGTTCCACAGATTGATTGGTTAGGTCCATTTTGCCTCATACCTTAAGGCAAAATGGACTATTTGGATTTTTTTATGGTATAATGTCAGTGCGTTGCTGTCCTTGGAGTCCCTCCCGCTCGAATCAACGTGATTTGGGCTCCTGTAACCTCACTCACTCAGTGAAAGAATTGCTTAACACCGGTTTTCTGTGAGGCCGTGGTGTCACTCCGGCCGAGCCGGCCCATTCGTGCCGAAGCATAGCTCTCCCAGGGGTAAAAAATATTATAAATCATCTAATAATTTCGTAATTTCTGATATGATTCAAGTCTGATTGAAAATTTTACGTAGAGTAAATAATGTTGTTTAGTTCTAATTAAAGGTAATTTAAACAAAAGTTTTTTTTTTCTACGTTGAGTTTTTCTTAAGTAGGCCGTTTTGCCTTCCTTTCCTCTACTGGGAACGGATGTGTATATGTATTTGTAGTATTTAGTGAGTAAACAAAAGATAGACTGATAACTGGTTTTGTCCCTACCACCGAGAATGAGTAACTATTTCTAATCGACTGGCCTGTTGGTCTAGTGGTTAGTGACCCTGACTGCTACGCCAGAGGTCGTGTGTTCGATTCCCACCCAGAACAAATAATTGTGTGATGAGCAAGGTCATTTGTTCTGTGTCTGGGTGTAGTTTATCTATAATATGTATGTATTTAGAAATATATACTTAAGTATGTTTATCAGCAGTCTGGTTACCGTAGTACAGGCTCTGTCTAGTTTGGGATCAGACGGCCGTGTGTGTCAAGTTATTAGTATTATTATCTATCCCAAGGTACAGGTACTTCTTTTATGTAGGTTAAGGAGGGCCAACCAGCAGATGGGTCCGGGCGCCCATGGACACCTACAACTCAAAAGTCATAAATGCGTTGCCCTATGGGTCCACCAGGAGAATCGGTTATGGTTCTTTGGTAAACTCACTTAATATGAAAAGTAACAAAGGAGTTGCTGAACACCGGTTTTCTGTGAAGCCGTGGTATCACTCCGGTCGAGACGGCCCATTTGTGTTAAAATATGGCTCCCTCACGGTCAAATAATAATGTTAGTTTTATTTTTTTGTATATTTAAACGCGGTAATATCCAAAACTATTGGATGGAATATTTTTTTATCTATTTATTGAGCTATATCAGGTTTGACAATGCAATTACAAATTAACAAACATCAATTGACTCTAGCTATGTACTTAATCGACATCTTCATTAAGTATTAAACTATAATTATGTAAAGTCTAATTGTTTAAAGCAATAAAGTAGCCACGGTTCCCGTACGATTTTTTTTATATAATCAAGCGAAAAGGCGGGCAAAAGCTAACTATACATAAAATATTATGAATAATACACATATTTGAACTGAACGCTACGGGTTCGAACCGCAACCTCTGAAGAATGCACTACACTACGAATACAACTGTTCCTTGGTTGCTTAAATGAGTCTTTGACATGGGTAGGTATCTAGCGATTACAGAGATAAGAAATAAATAGGTACTTACAACACTTATCCTGTATATCCATTAGATATAATACCGAATTATATTATAGTACAATAATGCCGATAATCGTGCCAAAAAAAAAAACTTTTACAACTATTTTGCCTTCTTTAGGATAAAAATTTTGGACCAGTATAGGATTTTTGATTTAAAATATTATTATTATTAACCGTGAAATAAACCACCCATACAAAATAAAAATCATCAAATATAAAAATTGAAATTAATATTTATTTCATATGTTATGCTTATATGATAGTTAACATAATAGCGCTATAATAAACAAGTTCATAACACTATATTTATTGTTAATCACCGAAACAACTGCAATCCCCACAGTCACAATCCCCACAGTTCCAATCCCCACCACTGTAGTTATCATTGTTGCTATCACTGGCGATTTCTGCAGTCGTTTCGGCAACAGCACAACAGCATTCCAAACATGCCTCAGTACTACCGTCATCCTGTATTACTTGCGGGGCATTTCGTAGTAAAGTTTGTTTGTTACTTAAAGGTTGATTCGTTATAACTTGTTCTTCTTCGTGTTCTTCAGACATGTTTAAACCGGTTCAATCCTTTTTAATGGTTCTAAAGTGTTTGAGTTTGAAGATTTTTAATGCGTCGTAAACTTGTAACAGATGTTTCGTTCATGAATAGATAAACACAACGCGCGTGACTCGTGGTACGGAGGCGACTGACACTCTGTGCGACTGACGCATTAGCGATCTCTGTCCTTCACCCAGCGATGAAGGGGAGAGGCAATACATTAAAAAAATATTTAAACCACTCATTATAATTAACTTAAAACTATATTAGCTTAATGAACGTAAAGGTCCAAATGTACATGCGTGTGCGCAACTTTGTTATACTAAATACTGTGGTACTTCGCCCGCTTTTATTTATAGCTTCCTATTACTGGAGTAAAATGTGACCTAGATTGGAAATAAAGTAGCCGTTATAGACAGTATAAAAATAAGTTTTGGGATTTATCCACTTCAAGCAAAGGAATCAGTCCTCTTTAATATATTGATACTGTACAAAAGCTTTAGCTCGGCGTTTTAATCAACACCTATGCCTAAACTATAAACTAAAAGGGGTGACAATTAACTCAAACTCAACTCAAAATATCTAAAGTTCATAAAAATATATATTGAAATCGTGTTAGACTCTAAGATCATAGGCCAACTCACACAAGAGCAACACTGTTTTGTCAAACGTACCTAATAATGTAAATTTTAAACATTTTGGCAATTCTTATTTTCTTTTTCTACCACATACACACAGCGCCATCTAGTCCCAAACTAAGCAGAGCTTGTACTATGGGTACTAGACAACTGATATAAATACATATATACTTTTTTTTTGTAAATACATACATATTATACATAGAAACACCCAGACCAAATCAAACATCAAATGTTCATGCACACAAATGTTTGACTTGAGCGGGAATCGAACCCGCGACCTTTGGAATAGCAGTCCGTTACACAAACCACTACGCCATGCAGTCGTCAGTATGTATGTATACAGTTAAGTAAATAAATTATATTTATTGACCTTGACACAAAATGTACCTCAACAATTTCTACCCGCACAACTATCTTTAATCAAATGTAACTCATGCACATTTCGAAATTGATAAATATTCGTTTTTTTCTAACATGTTTATTTTTGGAGCTGTCAGTCGGATTGAGAAAAAGTGTTACATTTGATAACCCTTTACTTGATTACTTTAATGAAGATAATATAATTTGGATCGTAGAAACAGTAGAAATTATTAAAAAACGCTCAGCTAAAGATTGTTATTAGTATGTATTATAATATTAGTCGTGTTGTGTTGCTAGTGCCTCTGGTGGGCAAGACGATACGCCCTTCAAACCTTCAAGAAAAGAGCGTACTCCTTCCTAAAAGGCCGGCAACGCGTTTGTGACTCCTGAGTTGCAGACGTTCATGGGCGGCGATGGCCACTTTCTATCAGGTGAACCGTCTGCTCGTCTGCCCCCTCTAACATAAAAAAAAAGGTGTACCAAATAATAATAATCTCACACACGGTTGTCTGATATCAAACTAGGCAGAGCCTGTACTATTTTAACCAGACATATATTTCTAAATACATATATATTATATATAAATTACACCCAGACACAGAACAAACGATCGTACTCATCACACAAAATATATTTGTCCTGGGTGGGTCACTAACCATAAGACCAACAGCCCCGTTCCCCCTGAAATAGGTTAAAGGTGCTTAAACTCAGGTGACCCGTCTGCTCCATTAGCCTCTAAACAACGTGAAATTACGAGTTATTTGAGTTACAGGCCATCGCAACTAAAATAGGACCGAAAGATTTTATTGACAGATAACTTTAAATTCTAAAAAGAATATTTCGAGAAATGTAAATCATGCATTAAAGTCTATATGTGATTATAAACATAATTGATTTGTAATTTAGATAATTCTAGAGTGTCTATGAAATTACATTTAATCACACCATTGTAACAATCTTTTCTGCAAAAACAAAAATATTTGAACAAAAAATTTGTAAAAAGTAGTCCTATCTCATAAGCTAAGCTGTAGCCTGTATTTTGGGAGACAATATTCCGTCAAAAATAATTACGATAGATACAGTGTTGGTAAAATCAATAATTTCACTTTAATACCGAGTGTATTTACTCAGTGTAGTCAGTCACTAGGCACAACACTACGTACAACACGCGTAAACTAAACTTACTGCATAAATTATTGCGCCAATAACTTTTGGCGCCAAATCAAAGCTTTTTAGTTCGTGCTTTGCGTTTTATCGAATGCACTTATAGTAAAGTAGTCTTAACGATACCATGTTCTAACGTTGGCAATCTGCCAAGAAAGTTGCGGAAATGCAACTGTATCGATCAAAAGCGCGAAATCTGCGTGCGTCATCAAATTAGTAACTGGTTATACATTGCTTTGAGGTTATCGGAGTTCAATTCATTGCGATGAGTCACTTTAATACGTAGGCACAAACAAAAATATATTGAAATTCATCATAAGCCTTCAATGGTCCACTTCTGGACATAGGCCTTTCTTTAGAAAGGAGGTGTTACTACTTTACCACCCTGGTGAGACGGGTTGGTATACGGTTTATGTCAAGTTTTCCTTCTCTTTGCAGTGTTGTTGTCCTGCACTTCCTGCAGATATTAAAATTGAGTCTTAAATTAATTTTGTAAAAATTGAAGGACCAGATCTAGTACAGGATTTACATTTTTTTATATATATAATTAACTTTAAAAAAAGTAGCACCAACTTCAGCGCAAGTGCAAATTTTTGCATATTTTGCATACTTATCATGATCACTCAAAATCACTTTTGCAGTGCAAAAGTGATTTTGAGTGATCATGATAAGTTGATTCAATCTGTATTCTTACTTACATTCTCAACCCTTAGTTATGGAATATTTCAGTATACTTGAGTAGAACCAATTAGAAAAAAAAAATTAAGTCGGTTAACTGACAACTGAAAAACAGGAAAAAAATTGTGGCCTGATATATTTCCGGATCGATACGACCTCCCAATCTTCAGGATAAGAACGTATTCAGATCTCAAATAGCCGGCAACGCGCTTAGTGCTACTACATTGCACTTTCCATCAGATGACTTAGTGTAAGTTTATTTCAAATCGACTCGATCGTCACATTCGTCACGGTGACCGCGTTCGGTGCTGTGAGGTCTAGAGTTGTGTTGCGCTGCATTTTTTTTGTTTCAATTATCATCATTTACATTTATTCCACAAAGACAAAGGCCTCGCAATGATCTACCCGCCCGGGGTGTCGCAATGGCTAAGGCCGCCACTGGTAGTAATCGTGTCTAAGATGACAGTAGTTCGTGTCTAAATTCGAGAGTCTAGACCAGGGATGCACAGACTTATTAAGACTAGGGGCCTAGATTCTAGACTCTAGACTGACCCTGACTAACTTGATAGTTAGATATAGACTGGGTGCATATCTTACTTTATTGCTGTAATTATATAGGCCTACGCGACCTAAATTGCACTTTATTGAGTCAGGGTCAGTTTAACTGTAACTGATAATAATTACAATGATTTATAATAAATTCCTTGTATCTCGGGCGAAGAAATGTTAACAAACAATTTTACCAATATAAATCTACATAACTACAGTTTAATACTAACACTAATAACTAACTGAAATATGTTTGCTGTGATCGAACAGTGAATATTCAGAGCGTACTTTGGAGTTACGAGAGATTATCATTTGTAACTCAGGACAAGAGATCACTGTATTATGTGTTTGAGTAATACTCTAACACACAATAGAGTGTAAAAACTCATTCATAATGACTACAAAGTAAACGAAACTCGATGTAGGTCGTCTAATCTAAAATACGCTGTGGGCAACGTTCGTAGTTCTAATCTAATTATTTGAGAATGGAGCACCAAATCCAGTTTTTCGGAGGAGATTGGTCTCATTTTGTTAAAATTACTGGATGTACAGTTACTATTATGTGAATCGAAGTTTGTGTTTATGTATTTTTGTTATTACGTACTGAAAACAAACTAAGATAATAAATACGTATCAAACGTAAAATATAGGCTGGTACGTTCAACTTATCCAGTGTTTATTTTATTTATAGTACTGTTACAGATAAGGTAAGTAAACAACCATTAACACAAAATACACTTTTATTACACAGATATAAGTACAATATTCGAGTAAGTATACAATATTTAAAGCGACAAATAGGTATGTAGGTATGCGTATAAGTAGGCACTTAATTATTAATTTAACAATTTCTATGATATATATATATATAATAATATTATCTTAACTAGCTCGAGCAAATTTGAAATAAAAAATCAACAACTTCTAATCGTAAGTATTCTATTTAATTGTAAGTATTTATTAAAATAATTGTATTCAATAGAATGTAACAAAGGACTTATCTGTTATACCTACTGTCTACCTAGTTCATTTGCGTTTGGTCTCGAAGATTTATAAATAAACTTGAACTAAAATAGGCATACTTATTAGGTACAAACTATGTTATGGTTTGGAGATTTTTAGTTTTTAGTGTTATAAATATACGAAAACATAAAACTATTAGTGGAGAGTATTACAAATTTGGAAAGTTATAAAACTAGTTACTTATTAGACTAAGTTAATCTAAATAATGAGAATATTACCAATGTAAAGAAAAAGCATATCTTCTTATAAGGCAACTTTGTTGTCCAGTAACAGTTGTCATTAAAACAAAATGGCGCGCAAAGGCGAGTCAGATGTGCGTAACGCAATAACTAGTTTAAAAAAAACATAAATAACTCTTGACGTGACGCTATTTAGTAAATGTTATATGTATAATAGGATACTAAGCTTCGTTTCAGGATAATTTTCAGGTCAAAATAATCATGTATTTTTTCGTTAAGTTAAGAAAGTAAGGCACTGGAATTTTAGTTTTCTTTGATTTTTAATTTTGTCTTTGCGCTGTATTGAAACTTTGTTACATCCTATTTGTACTCCGTATATAATAATTTATTTTATATTTAAGGGTTGTTTAGAGAACTTTGGTTAATTTTACGAAACCCTGATGGTTTGTACAATTAAATTTCAAAACGCAGAAAATAATTAAAAAGAGGTACGTATTGTACAGGATAGATAGAATTAAAAAATATATTTCATACATATAAACACTTGTATATGTCCTTCAACAGTATTTTAAATAAATAACAAAAAAATGTTGCAATTTAAGTTTGAACTTAGTATAATAAACAAATGAAATTTAACAATATAAATAGACGACCAGATCCAGTAGAACCAAGTAGAACCGTCGCTGTGTTCTCAATCTTAATAAACAATTATTCCTAGGTTCAATTTATTAAAAGAGTTCAGTTTTTTTAAATCTACTAAATGTAGTCGATTATTATTTTTAATCGTGTCCACGTGTCAAACTAAAACTGTCAAAAATAAAAATGATTATGCCTATGTTTAAAATAATCATTAAATGTATTTAAGTACATGTTAAACTAGTACAAATTTTCCAAAAATGGACGGCTTGTTAATTATTCAATTACCATTACTATTAGTAGGTACTTTAGTATTTTTATACCAATTAAGTTCCATTAATGCTTTGCGCGATAATTATTGTAAATGGGTCATTACGAAATTATAGCATTCCTTACTCTAATTATGTATGTACACAATATTTGAATATAATTATTTGATTATAATTATTTCGATTGCAAGTTTCGATTCTTACCTACCATTTGATGGCCGACTCTTTTTTATTTAAAAAAAAACAACTCTCGCATTACGAATATATCCTGTGTAGCGGGGAACTTTACAAACATACATGAAATGGACACAAAGAACACCCAGCCTCGGAACAATAATTTGTGGATCACCACAAAGTGTTGAACCCACAACACTCAGCGCAGTACGGGTCTAATTTTTCGCACAGCATGCGATTTATGGTCAAGTAAAATTTCGCCCGCTTCCTCCGCTTCCTGTTATACAGTTCCGTCCCTTTTCACGAAATCACTCCCATAGATGATAGGAAAGCGAGAAGAAAGATTTTAGCCATTAAAAAATATCACAATAACTCTTATAACAACTCTCTCATATAAGGCTTCACATAATCTTGTCATTTAGAAAGGAAAAGACGACTTGATTAAAATATCAAGCATTTAATCGATGTAAGAGATATCGATAATGTTTTTTTTCTTTACTTGTTAATCAACACCCCCGCCTGAATCACATCCTCCGCCAACGTCTCCACCAGAGTCGCACGTGCCGCCGCCTGTGTCATGACTGCTGGAATGATGTCCTCCAGAATCATGCGAGCTGGAGTGATGTCCAGAATCGTGTCCACCAGACTGATGACCGGAATCGTGTCCACTAGAGTGAGGTAACCCAGAATCATGTGCACTAGCGAGATGGAATCCAGAATCGCGGCCCCCAGAATGATGGGTGTGATGTCCAGTGGTACGGGAATCATGGTAGTGTAAATTATTGTCATGACCGGAGTCATGACTCTTAGAATAATGTACACTGGAGTCGTGTTTTATTGGTTGAAGATCGGGCTGATTATCAGGTACGGTGTTGTGATGGTCAATAGCACCGACTACCCATGTATTATCATCATAGTCATAATCCTGCCCGCTTCCGTATCTTCTGCGCTTATTTCTGTCTTCGGGTTTGTCTTCACAGCAGTCTGCTAGACAATCAGCGCAGCAGTTGCAGCATTTTTCTGTACAATCCCTGATACCGCCACAGACGCTCGATAGAAAATTGCAGCAGTAATAAATAAAACACCCTTGGCTTTTATCAGCTCGGAAGCAACAGTCATCCCGGTCTTGTCGCGTTTCTATGGTGGATTTCCTTTGATTGTGACCATTGAGGGATTCTTGAATCTCAGTAGGCTGATACGGCGATGTTGAAGATGGTTGTGAAGAAATAACGTGTGACATTCTGCAGATTTTTTTCTTCCTATTACAATGTATCACTGTCTATCCAGACCGCTCTCATGAATGACTCATTCTTATTTATACAAACTTGTTTATAGAACGTTACAAACAAGTTATTCCATTGGCACAATTTACAATAACCTTAAACATTTGCTCATAATTATGTTTCACCTTTTTTATCGCAAAGAACATCAATATAACATCACAACACAACACATATGCTAACTAATATTCATTTAGATATAAAAAAAGTTCAAAAATCGACGTATGGTTAAGTGTCATGTTGTCTTATCATTTTAAAACAGATTGTAACTTAATTATTTAATAATACATGACGCAACGCAACAAGTTTGTCTGGTAAGCGGCAGCGCGCACGCGTAACTACGGACACGGCGCTCATTTACTGGCATAACCAAACAGTACAATACGATAACACTGGCCTGGCCGGGGAACTGTCATTACAATAATCACGTTTTACATTCAAAGCCAACACGGAAAATGTTGTTCCCTTATTTGTTGGAAAATTACCCTATTTTGAGAGAAGGTTTTACATTAATAATAGTATTATTTTGACACAAAGATCAACACGAATACTCCATAAAATTTCAATAAATAAACGACCCAGGATACTTTTAGCCAGAAAATATAAAATGTACAACCACTCCAATGAAAACCAACCACAAAAGAAATCAACTATTCATACCTTTGTACTGATAAATTAAAAATAAATATACACACATATGTAACACATGTATAGGCAAATAAAATTTTATACCAACTTTGAGAGACAATTTGTGTCTCAAAAAAACAAGCTAGGTAATTGAAAGCTGTTTTCTGGCAACACTGGATCGTAAATGTCACAACTGATTTGTAGCGATGACGTAAGAAGCTATCGCTGTCGAACAAAATACACAATGCTATAAATTGTTTTGATGTAATACAAATGCAATTCGATGTTTAGACGCTTTACGACGTTTTATTGTTTATAATAAAAGTTTTTAGCGTAAATAATCGTATCTACGTTTTTTATGCATTTATCTCGTGGTATGTTTTGTGTGGATGTATTTAAAAGTAGTTTTTATTGATGAGGAAAAATAAAACTGACAAGATTTAAACAGGATAGCAGCAATCTTTTGCGATTTAAAATCATAGTTAGCATACAATTACGTCTCTATTCTAGAAAGGGTGGATAGAGGCGCGCGAATACACGCCCTATGTTATTGCCAACAAGAGTTTTAGTCCAAGGGGACCAACGTATTGTTGACAACCGGGCACTTTAGGAATTGGGTATCACATCACATCAACAGACTTTAATAGTCCACTGCTGGACATAGGCCTCTCCTTAAAAAGGAGGTTTTGGCCTACTATACCACGATGGCAAGACGGGTTGCAATAGGATTTGTTTCAAGTTTTCCTAATCTTAGCAGTGTCGTTGTCCTGCGTAGTTTGCTCCCTTAGTCGGCTCTTACGACACGCACGGGATGAATAGGGGTTGTAATCTTATTCTAACACCCTTAAACGAAAATTTTTGTGTATATATTATTATTTTGAATTAATTTTATAATTTATTTATCAATGGTAGATGCACAGAAACTAAAAATGAGATTTTATAAGAAATATAACATAAATTATTATTGTATATCGTGCCTTGTAACTATTACGTGGAATGTCATTTATAACATAAAGATTTAAGTGTTATTCTTTCCTGTTTATTAGTCAGACAATTCGTAGAACGGGAAATCAAATTGTAATTACTGTGGTTTTCCTTAGAAGTTCATTTTCGGCTTACAACTCTCACGCCAAAGAGGACGGTAAACTACAATATCTAGGAATCTACCTATTCGTTTTTCTATGTGTAAACACTAAATGCAGCGGTCAAAACCACAATGTTTTAGGCATGAAGCTTATTGCTAAGAGAAGCAAAACTATTATTAAATATCGGAACCAATAATTATTACTTAGGTATGTAATTGGAATGTAATTTTCCTTCAGTATTTTTCCTGTTTATTACCAAGTAACAGTAGGCACCTACTTGAACTTCGGTAGGTTTGCTTACTCTATTTTAATACGCAACAACTTATAAACTCGGAAACCAATAATTGAAGACTATAGAACCTTATTGCTTTCGAGTTACTACCAATATCATCATGAACAAAGTAACAGTCCACTGCTGGACAAAGGCCTCTCTTTAGAAAGGAGGTTTTGGCCAGCTTACTATAACACGCTGGCCAGACGTGTTGGTATATGGTTTGTTTCAAGTTTTCCTTCTTCTTTCTCCTTTCCTTTGCAGAGCTGTTGCTTGCGTAGTTTGCTCCACGTTGCCCCCGACCCCCACGGGATGAATCGGAGGGGGAGAGGGGGGGGGGGCACTGTATTCTTAATCCATATGATATTTTTTGATAATAATTCTTGAGTTACGTTACAAGAATTCTCCACTAGCATGATTTTTATTCCTGTTTTTATGGGGAAGCGGGCAAAATAGCCGACGGGTCACTTGATGGTAAGTAACCATCAACGCCCATAGATACCTGCAACAAAAAGCCACAAGTGCGTTGCCATCTTCAGTGTCCCCAGAGAGAAGGGAGATTGTATCTCTGGTAACACTTTTTCTCCGACATCTCCATCACCAGGAATAAATCGTATGTCGTGGAGGACTTTACAAACATACATGAAACGAAGAACAGCAATTTGTGGATCACAGTGTCGTTTCATGTGGGGATCAAATCCACAACACTCAGCGTAGTAGGAAGCGACGAGGTGACCGCTTAAACCACTACGCGACCCATGCTGTCAATTTGTTTAACACCGGTATCGCTCCGGCCGGAGCTGGCTCATTTGCTCTGAAGCATGGCTTTCCCACGGTCCTATTACCGAAGACCTTTTCTTCGTATGAACTAAGATTTGACACTCATTATCATAATCAGCCTATCGCAGTCAAATGCTTGACATAGGTCTCTCCCAATGCACGTCACCTAGATCGATTTTTGGCTTTGATTTGACACTCTTAGTAGCATTTTTATTAAAGGATCAAAAATAAAAAGGAGTTATCATTTTTCAATATTTTATTCATAAATTAAAAATGTAATTATTCTAATTACACACTGGTCATGTCGTCGTTATTTACAATGGACACTTAAAACATGGCCAGTACAATTAAGATTTAATAAAAATGGTCAATTTCTGTATTTTTTATTCAAGAAAACTATAATTGTCTAGGTATTTTTGACGAAAGACTGCTTAGTTCTAAAAGACATTGGATCGAGTTAAAAATATTCATAAATACACTTATTTCTGGCAGCGGTATGAATATGAAATGCAATTAAATTACAAAAGAGTTGTGTATCATCGGATTTTACATAAAATCTTCTACCATTATTTAAAACTGGTTAACATTGTATTAAAAACAATACGAATCACAGTTTGACGTAGACGGTAGATGGAAAAATATAGAAAATTGGATTTAAGAGGCAAATTACAATAAATATGCGTGAACAGGTTTTTTTATTAGTTTAAAATAAATTAAATGTTGATTCAGTCATCATTAGTTTCAATAACACACAAACTGACCGCCTTTTTACCTATAACATTACAAATTTGCCTTTTTGATGTTATTTTGCGTATTTTCAATTAAGTTTTTTTAGAACAAATTATAATGAGTTTTATTCATATTAAGGGGTATCCATATCTTACATAAAATCTTGAAAAGTCAAATGAAAATGTGTGTAAAAACAAATTTGGGCACAATTGAAAAATCTAGTCAACATAAAATAATATTAGTTAGGTTGTATAATTTTTCAGCTTTATAACTGTTTTAAGCTATGGGGTAAACCTCAACGAGAGAGAATAGGATACGAATTCTAAGCAATCGAGTAAATAAAATAAGCCTGTTTTTTTAAACATCACATCAACAGCCTTTAATAGTCCACTGCTGGACATAGGCCTCTCCTAAACATACGATACTTATTTCTTTTATTAATACCTGTACCATTAAAAATAACTAAACGCATATTACTGTCGTTTTGTTGCCAGGTCAACTCAATTTGTGTATTGTCTAACATCACATCGTCACCTCATGTGTATTTTTTGTCATATTTAATAATGAAAAACCTTTTTATGATGAACATTGAAATTTTCCGGTAAAAAAAAGATAATCTTAAATTATTTAATTGTAATGGGCCTTTCAGTCAATGCCAGAGGACAGGACAAATATATGTCATAAAAATGACTATTTGTTCTGTGCCTAGGTGTAATCTATAGCTAGCTGGTACTCAAGACTTCGTGGAATTTGAAATGCGCTGCCTTAGTGCAGTACTGTACGTGACTGCAGGCCATAAGGCCTCAGGTTCAATTCCCGGACCGGGTAAATTTTTATAGGGTTTTTTTAAAAGGAAAAATCTAAGTTACTCCTTATATAGACAGCTACCTGGTACTAAAATATTATTAAAATCGGTCCAGCCGTTTTGAAGATTACCCGGAACAAACAGACAGACAAACAAAAAATATTTGAACTGGTTTTTAGGCAAAAAAATCTATTGTTTTGATATTACAAACAGACACTTCAACTTTATTTATTTCTATGTATGTATTTAGAAATATATAAATATGTTTATCAGTATTCCGGTTACCTGTGTGAGGTGTGTGTGTGTTATTATATTATCGCTACATAAATAAAACGCATTAAATGCAATATTTGTTTCCTATATTGGCATTGTCATGTTGCCTTTTATCTTACAAATAATAATGATTACGTTTACACGAACTGCATGGAAGGGAGTTAGGGTCGAGGGTCTAGCGAGGGTCACCCTAAGATACCCTAAAAAGAATATCATGTCATAATCACATTTTATTGACTCGGGAGTTGTTCGAATAGGTAGTGTTGTCACTCTACAAATAAACGCACAGAAAATTAACCGAGCCGATTGTTCGCCGAATAGCAAGTAGTGGAGATGGGTGCTTGTCATTCGCCGAGCATTGATTATCAGTGCCCGCCTCGCTCGGCCAAATTTCGGTAAGTTCAAAGGAAGCGAATACGAATGATCCTGAAAACATCTAGTTATTGGATAGGGCCTCATCAACAGCCCACTCACTAGAAAGGTTTTGGCCTACCATGTGTATGTGCTCATTACTTGGCGAATACGTCGCCGATTACTCGTCACTCGGCGATACATCGGCATTCGTGATATCTGGTTGGAAGGCAACTAAACACAATAATTTATTTAGTTGTAGGATAATAAATCCCTATATTAATAACTACCACAATTGTATTCGATATGGTGTAATGTTATCATCGGGGTTGTAGGTGTCATGTTGTTTATAAAATACGTAAGAGAAATTGTGTGAGCATTTTGTTATACTCACAAGCACCTTCCGCTTTGAGGGTTCGTTATCGATTATAGTCCATTCGCATTAAGAAAATAGTCACGCATCGATTAAGCCTGAGCAATGAGGTTCCAAGCTTTTGTATGAAACGATAACACAGGCCAACAAAATTCGCCATAGTGAACAGGTTTTGCTCAGTTTAGAGGCTTGTAGTTCAGTTAAAGGTTGCTTAGCTGAACTCGGGGTGGGCAGTATTTGATTGGTTAGGAGGCGAAAAAAAATATATTTAAGCAAACTCAAGTCATTTGAAAGCTGAAGACTTGAACTTTAAGATACCCTGTGTACTTTTTTAGGCATAATAAAATTTGAAGAGTTACATAACCTCAAAAATGTTTTTTGCACTTTTAGGTTAGAATATCTCAAAAACCTGACGTTATAGAGCAATTCTAAGGCCGGATTTGGATTCAGTGCACCAAAATCCTACTAAAAAGTACACTCTGGTTTCTGGAAAATAAAATGTTGGGCTGTGTAATTTGTTGGCAACTTATTGGTCCTATTTGGTTACTATTTTCTTAACGCGAATAGATTATAGTTTCATTGTTCAGTACTCAACAATTGTTTTTAGTTACATAATTAAAAATGCACATAATGAAGTTTGCATTTTACAAAAACTATTGTACTATGTAGAACTGTATTGTAACGTGTCCGTAAAAAGATATAGCTTCCATCTCGCAATATTCTGTCAACAAAATGGCGCCCATAATAAGTCATTATCATTTAACAATATATTTTCTTAAATTTGTCAACCTTGACACCTATTTTTATTGTCTATTACAGTTATATTTTATTCATAACTCAACAAGATGGCTTAAGTATTGCGAATTCATAAACTTAAAAGGAAACGCCGACTTCACTTAAGGTTTTCTATTTCTATTTTAAATTTCAGTTCCAGTCGATTTGTAGGACAATTGAAAACCAATGCTCATTCTCGATCACTACCTTCCAGTTTCCAGTACCAAAAATTGCTACATACATAACAGCAGCTAAGGCCGAAGGCGGGAGCACCCGCCCCCCTGCTGCCCTTGATCCTAGAGTAGTAACTAGCACATTTCTAAGCCAAGCATTTATCTCGCTTGTAATATTTATTATCAATGTCAGTTATTTGAAATTAAGCTCATATTAGATGTTAGTTTAAGCTAAGTATACATCAAATTGTATTTTAACCATACATCGAGCAACAGAATACAATATACTTATTAACTGCTATTTAAGAAGACTCACGTACAACTTGGTCCTTCGAGCCTAGTCACAAAATGACAGTTCGACACCAAATTGGTTGTACCTACAAAACTATCTAGCTACACTAAGCCTCATATGAACCTAATCTAATAGCTCTGGGTTTATTTACGTAATAATTATGTATGTATTACCATAAAACATGACACAATATTTCCCCTTTATGAGAAGCATAGACCAAACAAATTATTGAAATTTATTAATAGTATTTTTTAAATATAATGTAATAAAGACAAATTATGAATTATTTGAAAGTTTCATGTTAATTATTACAACGCCTAATAAATCATTCACCTATACCTATACAGTGAAACGGAGAATGAAAAAAATGTGTATGCATCTCAATATTCCACAATACTGATATTTAATATTATAACTTAAATTTTTCAGATAGCACTTATCTCTCTTTCGTTATTGCCCGTATAACTAACTTCCTGCCCTGTCCAATAATGTTTACGTATTATAACGTAACTTGTTAGAGACAAAATATTTTTTTGATTTGATTAATTCTCCCTGGCAACACTAGAAAAATCCTCGAAATTTTGCTCCTAATTTGCAATACCATATTTTAATTGAAAAGGAATATTTTTCATACATAGACAATAGAATATTCATTTGCATTCAACCGTATTTTTGAGTTAAAAACATACAAATTTGTTCTAAATAATAACATTTTTTTTTAATAGCAACACAAAATTACTTTGCATTTCGATAATACGATCAACGAAATTACAAACTAAAAATATAAAGCAAATCGCCTCTTAACACTTTTATCGTACATTTATATATTTGACTTAGCTTTTAATAATTGGAGTTTTAATGTCTAAGTAGAAACCACGGAGCATAAGTTGAGAGAAGTTGTATACCATAAGATCATAGTTTAAAAAAAAACCTTGTGTCAAATGAATATGACGTCATAGGCAACTTGGCGTGAAATTGATTTCTTTCTTCTTTCTTTTTATTCTTGCCAGTTAAAATAAAAACATTGACATTTAAGGCCAACACGGTCGGTTTTAACATTCTATATTTAAATTTGTGTCAACTAGAGTTCAAATCTCTAAATTTTTTTTTTTTTTTTTTCAATAGGGTTTCATGAGTCTTTGTTTTTAGTACAGATAAATAATACAAGTCCAAATTGTAAAAGATATCCGATTAGAGAAATAAAATTTAGCTTTGTTAAATACTTTCTATATCATAAAGGCAGTACAGTCTGCGTATATACTATATTTATCCTAACCTAATTTTTAGAACTGAAGCCATGTTTGAATAAAATTAAACTATAGCAAGACGCTTATTTTGGTTACGTTAAGACCTATTTAGATTTATTGTCAAAGAATACAAGTAAAGTGTGTCGATTGTTAAGGCTCATGCAGCGTGCAAGCGATGTCTGAACTTGATAGAACGTATAGAACTAAACGGCTCAGTGCAGCGTGCCCGTGGTTCCCGTGCCCGTTCAGGTGGATTGCGCAGCGCAACTTTTTTGCTATCTATTTTATTACTAGACTAGGGACCCACCCCGGTTTCGTACGGGTGCTATGTAGATACTAATGTATTGTCAGTGTGGAGTAATTAATTGTATTATTATTAAACTATACTACAGGATATCTTAATATACAGTTATAGGCACGCTCCACGTCTGAGGGCCGCTGGCATCCGGGACGGACATTCAGGCCGACGCGACGGCCTCTCTGCCCCCGAATTTTAAATCCCTGATATCTTCTAAGGTATACATTTTATGTAATATAATATTCATGATAACACTTATCTAACGTAGATAAGAAACATTACTGTATTGTTTAAAATAGCTTCGTAAATACCCCATTACTTTTGGTCAGATGTCAAATATAAAAATGTTTACTGTGATGGAGGAGTCATAGTTTTTTTGTACATCTTTTTAAGATAAACAAGTGCGATTTTCATAGCTGTAAGTAGCGATATCGACATCGTTTGCACGCTGCACTGCTTGTATTCTGGTTGAGTCTTACAGCTAAATTAAATTTAAGTTACGTTGCTAACATACTGGATGGGGAACCACTTTCAACTTCTCTACACTTATACTCTGTAATCGAAACAACAGTCTTATTAAGCAATTAAGGCGATTTGCAGACCGATTTTTAATCAGCCTGAGTTCATATTACCGTCATTCTTTGGGTGCTGGGGGGGCACTGTCGTCCGCTTTTCTTTTAATAGCCGACCTGTTCTTATCGGGCTTGTATCTTTCCCATTTTTTATGGTTCAAAGTGTCAAAATCCTCGCAGTATTGGGCTATATCTCTAAGGTACAGGGAGAGCTGCAGCAGTTCCCGATCTCTGTCCCTGTTGAGGTGGGCTTGTCTGAAGGGGCGGATTTTGAGTCCGCTTTTGGGGTTCATGATGAAGTTTCTTCTGATATCATCAAACATTATTGTGTTCTTTGAGCTGTATTGGGGATACTTACCCCATATTACGCCTAGCGGTTTTACCTGAAATATACAAAATAATATCTAAATACGAATGTATTGTGACTTTCATACTTTAACTACTGCAATGAGTATAACTTTTTTGTTATTAAATCTATTGTGCAATTTTGTTTGAGCAACTGTCTTTTTTTTAAAAACAACTTCCGCACTACGAATATATCCTGTGTCGCGGGGGACTTTACAAACATTCATGAAATGGACACAAAAAACACACTGACTCAGAACAACAATTTGTGGATCACATCACGAACACACGGGCCTGTTGGTCTAGTTGTTAGTGACCCTGAGAGCTAAGCCGCAGGTAGTGGGTTCGATTCCCACCCATGACAAATATTGTGTGATGAGCACGGTCATTTGTTATGTCTGGGTGTATACGATACGTATGTATTTAGAAATATAGACTCATGTTTATCAGCACACTCGTTACCATAGCACAGGCTCTGCCTCGAACTGCCTGAATCGAACCCACAACACTCAGCGCAGTTGGAAGCGGCGAGGTAACCCATTTAAACCACCACACCATCCGTGCAGTCAAGCAAAACTGTAGCAAAAAATTAACACTACTAATACTTACATCTATCGTTCCATATTTGGCCGTATGAACCGTGATCATAGCCAGGTAGTCCAAATAAAACATGATCTTATAATCCTGGTGAGTGGACACACCAAGGAGACGCATCTTCTCTTCGATCCACTTCATCCCCGTGGCTGACCAGATCACGATGTCGTAGTCCTCATACGCGGAGGTCAGGAACTCATGAAGATATGGACGCATCAACTCGTAACCTTCAAACGTAGAGGTGTTGTAGAAAATAAAACAGAATGGTAAGGTCGGGTGAACGCGAGGCTTTGCTCAAAGAACTAAATATAAATTTATTAGATGTGGGTTTAATACAAAGCATAATGAGTTATCCAAGATCAGAAGCAGCTAAAAAATTGTGTCACCTGATTACAGTAGTTCAGCAATGATTTAATATACCAGACTGTTTTAACAATAATTATTTGTGTTTACCATGTATCAAGGTACAATGGGGTTGGCATATCCTTACTGGATCAAAACCCCGAATCAAAGAAAGATTAAAAAAAAGAAAGGTCGGGTAACATTGGCTCTAGGTTAGTGTTCCCGAGGGCCGTAAGTCTTTATCCCTAAATTTAAGCCTATTGGTCCTTTTTTAGAGCTATGCCAATAAAAAGCGGCTTTAAAAGACTCGTTACTTAAAAGCCTTGAGGCTTTTTTTGCGACTCGAGTCTTTTTTGAACAACGGGCTTATATTAGGGCTGAAGGCATTTTTGAGACTCAGTTTAAATAAGCCATCATATGAAAACAAGATTTATTTTATATGGCATTTATTTTCAGAAAAAAAGAAAATTATAATTTTACCTAAGTATCGCGAAAACAATTTAGCAACGATAAAAGGCACATTGAGAATATAATGTTTTTATTAGACGGGCGATTTCCTTTTTTATTAATAGAATTTTCATTTCTGAATATCAAATGCCATATTTTCGTGCCTGTTTGACTCAACCTATGTACAAGTCAGTATATATCTCACATCTCACACACAGCCATCTGATCCCAAACTAGGCAGAGCCTGTACTATGGTAACCAGACTGCTGATAAACATACTTATATATTTTTAAATACATACATATTATAGATAAATTACACCCAGCCACAGAACAAATGACCGTGCTCATCACACAATATTTGTTCTGGGTGGGAATCGAACCCACGACCTCCTGTTTAGCAGTCAGGGTCACTAACCACTACACCAACAGGCCCGTCGACTTATGGTTTTAACGTAGAACTTTTCAGTTTATTTAACTTCAAATACCTATAGACACGGTTCAGTTTATTTTTTGTAACATCATCAAATTAAACTCATAAAAAATGGATCAATTTGAAAATTATTAAAGAGCAATGGAAGGAGCATCCATTGAAACCTCGGTGGCTCAGTGGTAGCGTATGCTACTGCTGTTCTGAGGTCCCGGGTTCGATTCTCAGGTCGGACCAAATATTTGTATGTTCTTGTTACGGAGTTTGGGTGTTTTCTATGTATATTATGTACGTATTTACAAAAAAAAAGTATATAAGTATTCTATCAGTCAATCTAGCTTTCATAGTACAAGCTCTGCTTAGTTTGAAACTAGATGGCGTTGTGTGTTAGATGTCTGAAATATTATTATATTATATTATAAAATTAACTGATTGCGAAAAATCGAGAATATTTAAGAGACATTGCACAGAGTTAAGAATAAAATAAAAAGTAAGTCAGAGTTACTTATATGGCTGCAGCCTCGAGGAATAAAAGCTTCATAGCCCTTTCAGAGGGTTTTATTAACCCTTACCGTTGTTAGACTACCCTTAAAAAGCTTAGGCCTTTGCAAGACTGGACATAATTCAGTTCCGATCAACTTTCGATCTCACCTCTGTCATAAAAGGTATTTTTATTAACCGACTTCAAAAAGGAGGAGGTTCTCAATTCGATTGGTATTTTTTTTTTATGTATGTACACCGATTACTCTGAGATTTATAATCCGATTTACGTGATTCTTCTTTAGTTTGATGCGGAATAGTTGCCATTTGGTTCCATAAAAATTTAACATAGGCCCAGTAGTTTTCATTTTATGAACATTTTTAATGAATATTATTGTTTACTTTGATGATATAATTTTAGTTAGTGTACGGCCTTTTTAGGAGTTTATATTTAAGTTGATTATATATTACTATTAACCCGTGTCCCGGTAAGTGGGTCTTAGGCTACCTGTCATTGAAGCGGAGCGAGCTTGCGCAGTAGAGAAATTGAGAAATATTATAACCAATACGATTGCATATAAAATCTCGGAACGGAGAAATAAATAAAAAGGATATTTTAATTCTTAATCAATAGGTAGCACATACAAACAATAGTATTTTATTAATATTAAAGGTTTGCATAAGAGGTGTATTAAATTTAATCTTTATTAAGTTATTTTATACTTTTTAGTTTATGAAGTCGGTTTTTTTAAACGTAGTTTTTTTTATCGTTGTAAAATTGTAAAGTTACTAATACTAGCAGATTACCGATTCAATTGCCCGTGTGGTGACGGATTAAGAATACAGAGTGTCACCACCCCTATGCATCCCGTGGGTGTCGTAAGAGCCGACTAAGGGAGAAAACTACGCAGAACAACAGCACTGCAGAGAGAAGGAAGACTTGACACAAACCCTTTACCAACCCGTCTGGCCAGCGTGGTATAGTAGGCCAAAACCTCCTTTCTAAGAAGAGGCTTATGTCCAGCAGTGGACTGTTAAATGCTGTTGATGACCGATTCAATTTTTGGTTACAATATGACATAATCACATTACAGTCATCGTTGGGTTTTAATTACTTTACTACAAATATACTTTTTATGACAGTTGTGAGATCGAAAGAAAGAAAGAAAGAAAGAAAGAAACATTTATTTGCACAGAATACAGGTGGAACCAGATTTAACAAAGGTCTTACAAAAGTTCAAGCTATATTCTGCCTGTACTAGGCATGCAAATATTTATATAGAGACTCAAAACATTAACTAATGATAACTATTAACTAATAAAATTAACAAAATGTCAGTTGATCGGAACTGAATTGTGACCAAACTTTTATTAGAATTGGCCTTCAGGTGTAGCCCGGTTACTTTTCAATGACACGTAAAATATTAAGAAATAAAGACAAGTTAATTTCAATAGAAACGAAAAAAACATCTGTACATAGCATAAAATGAAGTCGCTTCCCGTTCCTGTACGCTTAGATCTTTCAAACTACGCAATGGTTTTTAATTAGGTTTTCATCAATAGAGAAATTGATTCACGAGGAAGGTTTATTATCTATACTAATATTATAAAGCTGAAGAGTTTGTTTGTTTGTTTGTTTGAACGCGCTAATCTCAGGAACTACTGGTCCGATTTGAAAATTATTTCAGTGTTAGATAGCCCATTTATCGAGGAAGGCTATAGGCTATATATCATCACGCTAAGACCAATAGGAGCGGAGCACCAATGAAGAATGTTTCAAAAACGGAGAAAATTTATTACTATTGAGAGACGCAGACGAAGTTGCGTGGGTCAGCTAGTGCATATTTGACGACCGGATGGCGCAGTGGTTTGTGTAACGGACTGCTATTCCAAAGGTCGAGGGTTCGATCCCCGTTCAAGTCAAACATTTGTGTGCATGAACATTTAATGTTTGATTTGGTCTGGGTGTTTCTATGTATAATATGTATGTGTTTACATCAAAAAAAGTATATATGTATTTATATCAGTTGTCTAGTAGCCATAGTACAAGCTCTGCTTAGTTTGGGACTAGATGGCGTTTTGTGAATGTGGTACAATATTACTATTACTATATTATAGTCGAAAAATGTATCATCATGTATCAGATGTATCACGTAAAAATTGCACCCGTGCGAAGTCGAGGCGTATCGCTAGTTTACATAAAGATTTTGTTGGATGAGAGCGGGGACTAAAAGAGGTGCGGGGGTAACACGCCCACCACCCACATCTCCCATCCTTCAGGCGAAGGCTCAAAGAAGCAGTGGTATAAATATCTATAGGTTACATACCAGTTTCAGCGACAGATCTATGGTCGAACAGTGTATAGTCGATATCCAACACAAGGAGTTTCTTGCCTTCCCGAGGCTCGTTCAGCACGTTGATCTTGTAGTCTCTCACACGCTTGTTGATCTTCGCCAGGTATACCTGCAATATTTTATTCATGAATTATTGGAAAAAGCAAGCAATATTCAATATACTCCTCTGAATCTATTTTGTATCTGCATAATTCCATTTTTAAGGTGTAGGCGGGGGTTGAGGGGAGGACAAGCTGACGGGTCTCTTGGTGGTAACTGCAGAGGCCCCCCACGCTAGATTTAGTGGGGGAGGGGGGGTTTGGTCTTCGGTTATCTCACAAACGCGGTGAAAAAAACGAAAAAAAATACTTAAAACCGGTTTTTCTGTGAGGACGTGGTATCACACCGGTAAAACCGACCCATATTTGCTGAAGCATGTCTCTCCCAGTGCAATTTTACCCATCTAATCTCCGGTTGATGGTTATAATGTTACTCCCTATCGCGTGAGTGTAACAAATAATGGAAAATTGTTGTTCCGAGTCTGGGTTTTTGTGTCCGTTTCATGTATGTTTGTAAATTCCCCCTCGACACAGGATATATTCCTAGTGCGGGAGTTGTCTTTAAAAAAATGTTATTAAATTTTAAATTGTGTTGTGTTTTTTTTTAAGATAAGATAAATTAAAAATGGGTTTCTCTACCACTAGCAGACATACAGCAATATGGAAACTTAATATAAGTAAACCTTTATTATTGTAATAATAATAATATTTCGGATATCTGACACACAACGCCATCTAGTCTCAAACTAAGCAGAGCTTTACTATGAAAGCTAGATTGACTGATAGAATACTTAATATACTTTTTTTTTGTAATTACATACATATTATCGCTTATGTAACGTAGAAAACACCTAAACTCCAAAACAAACATTTGCAGAACATACAAACATTTGGTCTGACCCGGGAATCGAACGCGAGACCTCAGCACAGCAGTCGCATACGCTACCACTGCACTGCCGAGGCAGTAAAGTTATATAAGTTCCAGTTGCATTTCACAGGTTGCGGAATAAAAAGAATTACCTCCTGATTCTCCACATCAACCTCTTCCTCCTCAATGTCCAGGTCATTGATGACTTCATCCCCAACATCAGGCTTCGTCAGCGCACCAGCAATAGCTTCCTCGAGGGAGCCCATCATCATGATCTTCAGGTTCGGCTTCAGTTGTAGTTCTGACAATGTGTAGTTATCCGTTGCTACTTTGCCTGGAATGAAAGTTTTTTTCATGATATAGGAGGATATATCTATTTTATTTATTTACTAGCTGACCCGCGCAACTTAAATAAATATAAGTAATAAATTTTCTCCGTTTTTGAAACATTCTTCATTGGTGCTCCGCTCCTATTGGTCTTAGCGTGATGATATATAGCCTATAGCCTTCCTCGATAAATGGGCTATCTAACACTGAAAGAATTTTTCAAATCGGACCAGTAGTTCCTGAGATTAGCGCGTTCAAACAAACAAACTCTTCAGCTTTATAATATTAGTATAGATTAATTCTCATGTACATTAAGGAAAAGACGCTCTTCCAGCAAACGTAAGAGTGAGGAGAGGATAGCATAACAAGAGAGTGGTGCGTGCACAAAGAAATTAAAAAAAATAGAAATATACAACTGAATATATACAAAAATAGAAATATAAACAAAATAACCAAATATCATGTAAACAATTCTCGTGTCGCGGTGTTTGTTACCAAACTCCTCCGAAACGGCTGGACAATTTTTTTTACTTAGGAGCTAGCATTGAAAAATACATACAACAATAATGTATATGGCAAAACAACGTTTGCCGGGTCAGCTGGTATATTTATTTATGTGTTCTTTGTATCCGTTTCATGTATGTTTGTAAAGTCCCCCTTTTTTTTTTGTCCGTGCGGAAATCCCCTCGGATACCACCTATCGGTGGCATGTCGGCCTCGAACCGACTAAAACCGCACGCCGTCTCGGGTACTAATAGCCGGGGAACCAGGTATACCCTAGAAAGGAAGTCCCTGGTGCTTGTAAAGTCCCCTGCGACACAGGATATATTCCTAACGCGGGAGTTGTCTTTTAAAAATATAAAAATATACCTACATACATACATATATTAGTCTGTTACTGCTGAGAAATTAATACTGATCCGATTAAAAAAAAAAAATGTTAGAAAGGTATATCAACCCTGAGTGCTACAGACTTCTTTTTACCGCGATAACTAACATATAAAACAGCAGGAAATATGAACAAGCAGACCGGTCGCCTGATTTTAAGTACCCTTTTTGAGTGCTCCCCTAGAAGCAGGGAAAAGAGGGGTACAATAACCTCACACACTCGGTGAAAAGCGAAGAAAGAATTGCTTAGCAACGGGGTTTTCTGTGAGACCTTGGTGTCACTTCCGTTCTTGGTGTTACTATGGTCCCTTAAACACTTCCTTATGCCTTGTATACATGCGTGCCGAGGCTTGGCAAACGGCCATAAGGTCCAAGTCTTTACAAACGCTTGGATGCCATTTACACGCTTGCGAGTGTGCTATTGTGTTCCGGACAGGCAAAAATAGCAGACGTTGGTCATATTTTTATTCAAAATATAAACGGCGGCACTAAACTCTGCTCAATCAGTAGAGCATTGAGACATAATGTTTATTCCCGACTGCTCAACTACAATATTTGTAACATCAAATTGAGCATTAAGGAACAAGCACGCGCCAACGTGTCAATACGTCGCAAACGCTTGCCGCGAGTTTTCTTTGATCTGTGTTCAAAAACCGACACTAGTACGTCGACGAGCATACGCGAGCCGAGCCAAACACCCCGTTTACACGCTTGTGTTTGTGGACACTTGTCGAGGCTAGCCATGCGTGTTAATTACCTATTAGAAATTATTTAGGTAGGGTACTTAGAGAAGTTAACACTAAATAATTATATTTTGATGGAGGAACCTCCAATAGAATATTTTACTGATAATTCTCCACACTTGCATTTCTCTAAGATAGTAAATACATACATATATTCACGCCTCTTTACCCCTGAAAGGGTTGACAGAGGCCTATTAAACATCCATAGTTTAATTCCTAAGCATCCACTATAATTTTAGTCCCATTTATGCAATAGGTGGTAAGCCTAGTGCGTTCAACAGAGCACATATATTTCTAACTTAACATGCTTATATATGTCTAAATGTTTTAGATAAATTTAAGTTAGACACAGAACAAATGATCATCATCTTTATCAACAGCCTTTAACAGTCCACTGCTGGACAAAGGCCTCTAGTATTTTTCCTGGGTGAGATAAAACCCACAACCTCTGGTTCTTAACAGGCTCATCTAAGATTATATTTCTAAATATCCACTATTTTTTGTGTGATGTACTAATTTTAAGTATCTCTAAATCTGGAATGTTTATGCACTATTTAGTTGTTTTGATTTGACTGAATTGATTGCTATCTATAACATGTACATTAGTTTATAATATAGACTGAGGGTTACAGTGTTGGATGAACAAATTAGTTGAAATCCTTAGTGAAGATTACACTACACACTGCCTAAAGGTATTGGTGCTAATTCTGTAGTTCGAAAACTCTCTAAACTAAAAATGACAAAAAATTTGTTAAGTATTTCTTTTTCAGAATACGAAACCTTTTTGAACAGGACTAAACTAATTTTTAATAATTTTTAGCTTAGTTTAGAGAGTTTTCGAACCACAGAATTAGCACTATTGTATTTCTTTCCCTAGAATCTTTACATAATAAAAAATGAAGTTGTTTCCCATTCTTGTACGCTAAGATCTTTCAAACTATGCAATCATTAATACGGAGAATAATTCAAGGTGAAGGTTATATAATGCACTGCACCCGTACCAAGCCGGGGTGGGTCGCTTATGAAAAATAAATTGTATTCAAAGTAATATCTCCAGCTAGATCTCACCCTCCCTTACAAATGCCTCTCACATTAAGAGTGTAAGGAGATAATTTAATATTAGTTGACATAAATTGTATTTTTTATTTCTTAGCCTGCCATCCTTAGGGTGGTAATTTAATGGGATGGGGTATATACCCTCCCAAAAATAGAAATACTCTAAAAATAGAAAATAGTACTGTATTGATGATCTCCTCTCTTTAAAAGTAGGTTAAAAATATTGAAAGATCAATTTCCATGTTTATGATTTTTTTTACAGAACTTTGCTATCACCTAATACTTGGGTTGTGGAAGTCTGATGGATGATGAAGTTCAGCTGTGTTTGTATATGTATTGGTTGTGGGCTTCGGTTTCCACATTTAGACTCAAGGGTGATCCTTTATGCGTCGAGGATTGGTTAGCTAGGTGAGCCCACCAAGCTCCTTTCAGAAGCGCAGAAGCCTCCTGGGGCGTTCACAGGCTTCTAGGAGCTGTGTTGTAGTGGACTGAAAGCAGACCCTATCCTAGTTTGGGAAAAGGCTTGGAGGACGATGATGACATAATTATATTGTATCACATTTTTTTTATGGAAAAGGGGGCAAACATGCAGACAGACAACGTGATGGAAAGTGAAGTCCGCCGCCCATGAAAGCAGACCCAGATAGCAGACAGAGAGGATTAAAATGTTCCAACATTAAGCACCAAGATAAGTGTGACTGTCAAGGGTCCTGTTTGACATCTTCTATATTTACTAGTACACCAATAAAGATTTGATGAGTATATGAAGCTTTAAAGCCTTTTTTTTACATTCTCAATCAAGATCATTCAGCGATGACCCTCAGCAGTGTCTTAAATCTTGCATCAAGTAATGCATCAAATATTCAATAATTTATACTATATGTTGATGTGTCTAATAAATGTATTTTCTTTCTTCTTTCTCAGTAGATATGACTAACTGAAGGCAAATTCTCGTAATAAAAGTTCGGTTTCAATTCAGTTCCGATCAACTTTCGATCTCACAACTATCATAAAAGGTATTTTCGTTGTAAAGTATCAAACATCTATTAAACATTGCCTCTGATGTGATAATATCATATTGGAATTGAAAATTAAATCCGTAATCTGCTATTCTTAGTAATAATAGGTCTCCGATTGACCAAAGCTGGTTGCAGATGTGCAAGCTTCTCCATCATTCTCTCCAGTTCTTCACAATACACATCTGCATTAATGCTTAGTGGGTTAAAAATTCAATTCCCGAGAGGCAGTACAAAATGCCTTTGAAGAGTTTGTTGCCTCCCGTCCAGCTGATTTTTACAAGAAGGGCATCAATAAACTGACAATGCGTTGGCAGAGATGCGTCGATTGCATGGGTGATTACTTCGAATAACAAAAATAAAAAAGTTTGAAAAAATAAGTACTTTCACTTATTGCATACAAAACGGCAATTTCATAGGTAAAGACCTAATACTTTACTGAGATCAAATGTTGATCAGAACTGAATTGAGACCGAATATTGATTATGAGAATATGCCTACTAAAATGAAGTTACTGCCTGATGTAGCTGGCTGTTTAAACTAAGAGTACCAGAATCCTGAGAGTCAACTTTGTCTATTTTTTTTAAGACCAAACATAGCCAGTAAACACATATATGGCAATTGACAATGTGTGATGAGATATCTCACGTCATAGTTGGCCAGACCCCTTAACACTATAATAATAAAAATCTTGAAATATTACCTAGGAATAAGGGTTTAATTTTGTTTATTCACATTTTTATGTTTAAAGTTCATGTTAAAGTATGTTAGTATACCTATCACACTAGATTATAAATATATGGGTTCACGAAAGATCAATGTTTAAATACTTAAATGTTTGTAGTAGAGAAGACATTCAATTAATATTAAAAAACATAAAACTGGAGGATGATAAACTCTTTGCTTCATCATCATCATCAACAACGTTTAGTAGTCCACTGCTGGACATAGACCTCTCCTTAGAAAGGAGGTTGGCATAGGGTTTGTTTCAGGTTTTCCTTCTCTTTGCAATGCTGTTGCCCTGCATAGTTTACTCCCTTAGCTCTTACGACACTCACGGCATGAATAGGGGTGGTGACACTGAGTATTCTTAATCTGTCACCACACGGACAATTGTGCTTTGATCCAGTCACAAAGAAATAGCCGAAAGTTAGAAATTGCATTGAAAAATAAATATTTTTTCGTGTTTAAACACTTTTGAATTAGGATTTAAGGCTTAGAAAACCAAAAAAAATTTAGGGCATTGTGTGTTCCAAGATCATAGCTGAAATCGTTATGTAAAAAATATTACCGAACAAAAAGAAAATACGTATACAAATAATTTGTTGTATCGTATATAATATTAAAATATTTTTGATGCCACAAATGCAGGTACAGCTAAAGATACGTTCAAAACATATAACATGCCAGTGAATGAATAATAATTACCCTGAAATTTAACGTTGAGTAACTTTTGTCTGTCCGGCCGAACGCCAGTGGCATTTTCGATGGCGACTTTGAGCATTGCAACGGAGTCCGATGGCCATAGTTCTGGTATTTCGTACTCCTTACCATTCCATTTAACGCTAAGTTTAATTGGATTATCGTTTATATCGCACATTTTCAACTAATGTTAATCAGTAAAACTTCTTTAGACGTGACATATAAACAAAACAAATTTGACACAGCACTAGTGATGTAGTTATATGGATACTGATTATTTTATTAGTTTTAGTAGTACAAAATCTTAATGTAGTGATTGACCAAAGCGCTTTATGGTTTATTCAGGAAGAAATCACTGTCAAAACGTTGACAGAGCGGTTTCAATGTCGGCCTTGACCAAAGAAATCCTGTTAAATTACACAGTACATTATAGTACAGTATATTAGAATAAAACAAATTATTTTTCGACATGTTTTAATTATTTATAAACAAAATAGTTATTTAACAATGATTTGTACAGGGCCACCAGAGCGTGAAACTTAAAATCGTACTTGTTAAATTGTTGTCCATTTTGCACTAATTTGCGATTTTGTTGAAAAATATAACTTTCAAGAAACTAAGCTACGTATTAGGCGATTTTTCATGTGAGAGTCGATGGCATTTGATGACAACCGTGTTATGTTCACAGATTACTATAATGTAGCAAGCTATGGTCCTAGACTTCCTTTATTGTTTATAAAACTTAAATTATTAATTTAAGTTCAATCAATTTTCAGTTTCTGGTTTGATGATTCAGTCGTTTTATATAATATATTACATTTATAATCGCCGCGATTTTCTTTCTTCTGTATAGTTTGTTAATACAAAATATGATCTCATTTTATTATATATTCCATATTCCTTATTTTTACCAGGTGCTCGAATAGAGAATGCTCTTGGTTCATACTGTGGGTCTAGGACCTTTGTTTTACATAGTTGTTTATAAATGAAAGCGGATTTTCTAGGAATTCGTGGCTTTTTCTTTGATGTGAAGTCAACTTCATATAGTCCAAACTTTTCTCTGTAAAGTATTATATTTTTTTAATCGATCGTGGTGATCGTGGTCGTGGCGTTATGGACCTTATAGATTATTTAAAAAGGTGTTACAGAAATTTATGGTCACTTTTAAAAAGTGGTATTAAAAAAAATACAAGTTTTTTTGGGAAAGCCTAGTCGACCACCCTACAAAATAATACATTATTAATTTATTATATCAATTTCAATGATTTTATCTTCATAGATCATTCATAACACAAAAGGTGCGCTACGTCATTTTTGCATAGTTACGTATCGCCTTCTGCCTCGAGCACAGAATCAATTTAGAGTTTATTAGGTGTGAAGCACCTAATAAACTCTAAATTGAAAGTCACAATTAAAAGTCACAACTTAAATCTTTCAAAATTATGTTGTTCTATTGATTCATCTGACCACATTGTGAAATACTCACGTGTACCCGTATAGCCACTCAAATCCATCGTACAGAGACCGGACACTATAGCCTCTTATATCAGCTCCCTCCTCCAGAGCGTCATGTAAAGCAATTATATATCTCCGCAGGTACTGTATTCTGTCATTGTCCACCAACCCACCGGCAGTGGACCAACCGTTCTCTGTTATAAATATCGTTGGATTCTCATAAATAGTTTTAAGTTCCATCAACAAATCGAAGAAGCCTTCTGGTACCTCCTACAATTAAAACTTTATTCACAAACGCTGGAATAAAAGGCTTTAGGTATTGACCATGGACTAAAAGCGAAACGTGGTTCATAAACCCATTGAATAAATGATGTAATAAACATTTAATATTTTGACACATCTTACACACTGCCGTCTCATCCCAAATTAGGCGGAGCCTCTCCTATGGCATCCAGACCGCTGATAAACATACTTAAATATTACTAAATATATACCTAATACAGATAAATTACTAATTAAATAAAATAACTAAATCAATACCTGTATCGAACTAGTAGCGGACTGTGGCCAAGATATATTTTTGATTAGCACAGCACCCATATCGTCCATATAAGATGGCACCATGTATGATCCATCGAAAGAAGCATCTCTGTACGCCAATTTCGTCGTGTAAGAATTTACACCTAAGAAGTCAGCGGATCCTTGTATCAGAGCCACTTCAGAGGAAGTTAGTTCTGGAAGACGAGATTGGGAATAACCTTGATCAGCACTTTTGGTGGCGATATTGGTTTTTACTTCTCGGGGGAAATTTCCGCCTTTTGCGAATATTGGATGTGCGTATTGGCCCCACTGAAATCAGAGACAATTAAACATTATTTAATACTAGCTTTTGCCAGCGGTTCCGCCCGCGTCTATGTCGGTTTTCGAGGTAAGAAGTATCCAATGTTACTAGTTGATCAAGTAGCATTCCATTGGTGAAAGAATTTAAAAAATCGGTTTAGTGCTTTAGGCGTGAAAGTCTAACAAACGAAGAAACCCACTTTCACATTAAAAATATAGGTATGGATACTATTTTCACTCTTTAGTGACGTTTGCGCAACTGAATTACTTACAAAACCTTATCTGTTAAAACTTATTTATGTCATTTTTTTTTAAGAAATGATAGAAAAAAGAACTGTGGTATGAGCATGCAGCTAATATCAAATTAAAGAGAGTCTCTCTCTTAGCATAGTTAACTTACATCAAACATTCTTGCATCAATAGCTGCCTGATGGTCGTCCTCAGTCTCCGACGCTGGTTCGTACCAAACAAAACTGATTGCAATCCCAATAAAACCATTGTATTCCTTCCTGTAAAGGTCTTGATAAACGTGATATGTTTTTGCATGAGCTAATAGTAAATTTTTAGTGCACAGGTATTCAGCTATCCCACTCATATTCATCATTGGAGCTTTCGCTGCAGTTCCGTATCCTCCTACACATATTTCCTTGGGCCCGTTTATTGTGATCCAATATTTCACCTTTTCCCCATAAGTTTCAAACAATAATTTTGCGTAATCCACAAATAAATCTACGATGATAGGATTTGTCCAGCCGCCTATTCTCTGAAGCTCAGTTGGAAGGTCCCAATGATACATTGTTACCATGGGTTCAATATTATGAAGTAATAAATTGTCCATGATTGAATGGTAGTATTTGACTCCTTTTTTGTTGATTTGATCCGTGAAACCATTCGGCAGAATCCGCGGCCAGGATATGGAGAATATGTAGAAATCTAGTCCAAGATCTGCTGTGATTTGTACGTCCTCTTTGTAGAGATGGTAGGAGTTAGCAGCGACGTCACCTGTGCTGCTGTCCATGATTGGAGTTGGGTTTCTGTGTGCTGCTTCATCCCATATTGATAGCCCTTTGCCTGTTGACGACAATTATATATTTACTTAATTGCTACTTTTAAGTTAAAACCATTGTAGAAAGTTTATAATTAATTCCTGACGACATAGGCATCGGCGTAGAATTCTAGACCAGCGTTTTTTTGCATTATTAGTTTTATATATATAGCTTTGCTAAAGGTGTAACTAGAGACTCAAACCCTGGCTCTTAATAGTGATGCTTTAAGTAAGACATCATGTAATTGACTAGTATATTGACATCATCATCATCATCAACAGGCCATATGGCCATGGACATATGCCTCTCCTTAGAAAGGAGGTTATGACCTACTTTACCACGCTGGACAGACGAGTTAGTATAGGGTTTGTGTCAAGTTTTCCTTCTCTTTGCAGTGCTATGGTCTTGCGTAGTTTGTTCCCTTAGACTGCTCTTACGACACTCGCGGGGTGAGGGGTAGTGACACTCCGTATTCTTAATCTGTAACCTTACATTGACATAGATTTTGGCAATCAGAATACTATCACCCGGCAACATATTTTTTTCTGTATGAAGGGTACCTAATGATTTTTAAATATTTAGTGATGATCAATTTAAAAGTAAAGGCGGCCAAGAATAGGTAACAACCTCAGTTTTACATTAAGAATATTATACGAAGGGCCCATTGGTCTACTGGTTAGTGACCTGGACTGCTAAGCTAGAGGTTGTGGGTTCCATTCCCACCAAGTACAAATAATTGTGTGAGGAGCAGGATCATTTGTTCTGTGTCTAGGTGTAATTTATCTATAATATGTATGTATTTAGAAATATATAAGTATGTTTATCAGTATTCTCGTTACCATAGCACAGACTCTGCCTAGTTTGGGATCAGATGGCCGTGTGTGAGAGTGTGTGGTTGTTTTTATATTAAGGATTTAGTATTCAGATTTAGCGTTTTTGTCTTATATACATATGCTATAGAACATACCATCTTCCTTCCAAGCTCCTTCTACCTGATAGGCTGCGGTGGAAGCACCGAACCAGAAACCTGAAGGAAACACTCGTGTCCTCATGGTCTCGTTGTTTTTGTTGGCGAATATGCTGTAAGAGTAATTGAATTCCTAAACCGCCGCTTATTTTATACAAATTACCCTTATCAAAATAAATAATAAATTTAAAAAATATCACACCTAAGGGTTTAAGGCAAAGAAAATTTATAAAATACATATGAAATTTGATCGTTATTTTTGGTAGTGGCGTTTTCAAACTCACAGTAAATACGCTTTATTAAAACTGAAAATGAAAAACGTTCCAAACTACCCTTAAAATAGGGTGCAAGTTTGTATGGGGAACTATTTTTTTTAACTTATCGATGCCAAAATCTCAGTATAATTATATTCTCTATCTGTTGATACGCAGACGAATTCGCGGAAAAAACTAATAAACAGTAAACATATAATACCAGGGCAGGATCATGTAGATCTTATGTAGAATCATCATCCTCGGAGCTGGTATGTTTATGTCGTGGTTTTCCCGTAACTGTAGATAAACTGTATTGCAAAATATCTGATAGGAATCAACTATTTATTAGAACTTTTGTTTGCATTTATATTTCACTTGACTGAAAATCTTTTCTCTTATTGTCTTCTCACTTTAATCAGTATTATCCACTTTCCTACTAGATCCTTCTTCTTTTCTCTTCTTTCTTTCGTCGTTATTATTTCCATAAATACTTGTAACCACAATGTTACGTAAACAATCATTCACAAGAATGACCAACGCTAAAACGTTGGTTAAACCACGACACTTTTCGAATCTGGAAAAGCTACTGGCTTCTAACCTGAAATAAATGAGATCAGAACTTTTTAACTTCAATAATGGATGTTAATGTTTTAGATACCGAAAATAGTGTTATCCCGTAATTTGTATTATGTACCTTGTGGTCACCACAATGAAACAAAAAAAAAACGATGCAGTTCCATCTAACGAAAACACACCGAACTACGGAGAAACTGTTTATCCTGTATCGCGATTGTCGAAATTATACGATGGCCTGACAGGAACTTATCATTCCTAAACGAAATGGGACTAATCCCACCCACACGCCCACCACTGTAACTCCTGTACACCAGGATCCACAGCAGTGACCCACGAACACACCGAGTTATGACACTCGGGAAGTCCCAGGAAGAAATTAAACTGTCTTGGAACCCGCAACGAAATTAATCAGAAGAAAATTGGAGGAGTTGGAAATACAGTAAATCCACTTCCCTCCTTAGCAAAGCGGAAGACAAAATAAAGTAAAATAGGCATACACCTTTTTAAACAGGGAAGCACCACGGCCACAAAATATTACGGGTCCTACGTGAGCTATATTTGATCATTCCTAAAGACAATTAGTAAATATCATCATCATCAACAGCCTTTAGTAGTCCACTGACTGCACATAGGCCTCCTCTTAGCATATATACTACTTCCTAACTCTTGGCTTCCTACTAAATCTTGGCCGCAGCCCGCCAGGCATGATCATGATCTCTGTTCTTCCTCAACCTATATTACTTGACTTTTCCACCAGGTTGCAAAAGCCGTGGTAACAGGCTGACTGAGTGGCTAGTTTTCTAGCAATTTATTGGTGTACATTACTAGACTGCGTTAATTTCAGTGCGTAAATATAGGTAACTTAATGCAATGTTCCGTGTGGTGACGGATGAAAAAAAAGGAGTGTCACTACTCCTGTTCATCCCGTGGGTGTGTCGATGAAATGTAATATTCTGTTTATAAAAAATAGGTTTATTTATTAGAAGATATAGTGATATTTATGCTATTTTTTTTACCTTTGATATTTATACCTTTTTCTTTAAACGCTAAAACTCAGTGGTGCTAATTTGATTTAAAAACTCATGTATGTCCAAAGCTCAGCTCACTAGCGCCCCTAGCGGACCATCGACATAAAGACCCAAACTCATACGAAGTGACTTTCTATCAGAAGGCCTATCAATTCTCGTAATAAAAGTTCGGTAACAATTGATCAACTTTCGATCTCACAACTGTCATAAAAGGTATTTTCCTAGTAAAATAGTAATGTATTACTAAGATTAGCAGATTACCGATTCAATTTTGGTTACAATCTATACTAATATTATAAAGCTGAAGAGTTTGTTTGTTTGTTTGTTTGTTTGTTTGTTTGTTTGTTTGAACGCGCTAATCTCAGGAACTACTGGTCGGATTTGAAAAATTCTTTCAGTGTTAGATAGCCCATTTATCGAGGAAGGCTATAGGCTATATATCATCACGCTAAGACCAATAGGAGCGGAGCACCAATGAAAAATGTTTCAAAAACGGAGAAAATTTATTACTATTGAGAGATGCAGACGAAGTTGCGCGGGTCAGCTAGTACGATATAATCACATTACAGTCAACGTTAGATGTTTAATACTTTACTACGAAAATACCATTTATGACAGTGGTGCGATCGAAAGTTGAATGGAACCGAATTGAGATCGAACTTTTACTACGAGAATTGGCCTTCTGGACTATGTACATATCTCTTAATCTGTAGTCCAAAGTTTGTGTTTAACCGGTAAGTCAAAGTGTAGATCTCACTCGGTGAAAGCAATGAAAGAGCTGCTAACACAGGTTTTACTGTAAGGCCGGTCGAACCGTCCCATGTGTGCGGAAGCATGGCTCTCCCATGGTTTTAAAAGTAATTTAGTATTACATTTAAGTAACATCTACTCTTAACTATTAAAAGTAATCATATTTTAACTTACCAAGTATTAAATAATGTCTTCCTATATATTTTAAACACATAAATGCCAACACAACTAAACTCTTTGACCAGTAACAGAAAAATAGCAACGCACAATCGACGATTATAAATATATAACATACATATATTTATAAAGATGTTTGTGTTTAATTTTATCTACAGAATATAATCATATGTTTGCAATATATGTATAAATAAATACTATGGTACCAGAACAATACTTGACGTTATTGTAACTAGTTTGACCAGTAGATACAATTATTATTAAGTTATATATATAATATAAGCAAAAATCTGTACTAATGGACGTGATTGTGAATGACTGACTACAAGAGTTTAATATTGTTTGGTTTAGTATTGAGTGGCCAGCACGCAAACCGACACGATCGGTATGGCTGGGCCATACCGATCGTACATATGCCTTACTTTGAATAAGTATTCAATTGTCAGTTATCTGTCATTTAAATTATTTATGGTGGTGGAACTTCGCCGCTCAGTTCGCCGTCAGCAAATTGAGTCTGATTGGAAATCTTCGTCCCGGGCCCTCTCCGTTGCCTCCTTCTGCAAGATGACATTATCCGTGTATGGTAGCAAGAAATCCTCTCTGATGATGGCAGAGAGGGTCACTGGGTTACGCAAGCAGGGTATCGGCATCGCCTGTGCGCATGTGCGCAAACTGAGCTCTCAATGCTTAAAACTGTCTTAGGCACTATGTACTTCTTGAAATAGCCATGCTCGGCATCAAGAAATATGTACTTACCTTAAATATTGGTTAGCGTCTTTTACTTTACTCAGTATGATCAGAATAGAAGCATGCAAGGGTATTTATTAACCTGGTTGAGTGTTCTTGACTTGCTTGGCAAGGATTTGTCGTGACATTAAATAATAAGAATTAAAATAATAATAAGTGCGGCAATTTTTTTTTTTAAACGCAAGAATGTATTATATTCTTATCTTTTAATGATTTAGGTCAGAAAATTTCGTTGAGTTTAGAATTTTATGCATATGTAACTATTTCGTCGTTCGTATTTTTTCATAATACTAGCCAACCAACTTTCACTTGTAATTGAGGTTCTCTCAATCCGTGTGGTGACGGATAAGGAGTACGGAGTGTCACCACCTCTGTGGGTATCGCAAAAGCCGATTAAGGGAGCAAACTGCACAGGACAAAAGCACTGCAAAGAGAAGGAGAACTTGAAGTAAACCCTTTTATTTATTTTTTACATGTGGAAACCCCCTTGGGCCGACACTCCACCGGTGTTTGAGCGGGGTGGTGTGTCGGAATCGGGCCGACTAAAACCACAAGGTGTGCCACTCTGCGCCTCAAATAAGACAGATCCGGGAACTGCCGTTATTAAGACATCCGACCCTACCAACCCGACTGTCCAGCATATACTACTATACTGTACTAAGTATGCCAAAACCTCCTTTCTAAGGAGAGGCCTATGTCCAGCAGTGGACAAATTAATGCTGATGATGATGATAATAGTTTTATTCCTTATTAGGCAAACGGAGCATGAATAAAAGTGAGGTATTTGTGACGTCAACGTGTGTCAACTTAACATATTATTTTTTAATAAGTAGTCCTCTTAAAGACATTATTACAGAGGATAAAAGTCAATTTTTCCCTTTGGATCGAATCCAAAGAAAAGCGACTCGAATCGTCGATAGCCAAAAGATTTGCGACCGGCTCGATCCCTTGGCGTTACGTAGAGATGTAGCTTCGCTCTGCATTCTCTATCTTATATATCATGGAGAGTGATCCGAGGAATTGTTTGGACTAATACCGGCTGCAACCTTCCGCCATCGTTCCAAATTTTCATCCCCATCACTTGGATAATTGGCGCTCCACCACTATTCCATAAAAAAAATATTACCGCATTAGCAATATATTTACTGTGTCCCAGGGGACTTATCATTAATGAAACGGACAAATAAAACCCAGACTCAGAACAACAATTGTGGATACAAAACGTTTTATCATGTGAGGATCGAACCCATAACCATGTGAACGTTTAAACTACTACGCCTTTCGTGCAGTTCAGTAAAATTGAATGTACCTATTACATAATGCCCTTTACCTACATTGTAAACCTCTACAACTTTCTGTACAGCAAAATTTAATTAAAGCCAACTGGGATAGTAATAGTACTTATAGTTAAACCGCCGTAAGCTTGGCCCTCCTGATGGTTTGCGGGACGCGGGGCGGGTGACGCGCTCGGCTATACATGACACGATGTCCTAACTCGATATCTTCAGATTTATTTGTTTGAGATTTAATCTACACACGATGTAATAAAAATCGAATTTATTTCCATGTATTATAATGTCAGTGCATTGTAAGTTTTTATGATTAATTGTAAAATTTAATACTGTAAAATAATTTTAATAAAATCACCTTATCTTCATCATGTAAATTATATTCAGATACAATTTAAAAATTAAGTAAAATAATAAATATTCTTTATTAGAACTTTAACAGTAGAATCTCTGTAAGCCGAACTTCAATTTTTTTAATCTTTTTATGATGCCGAGTCGGCAGATTATCCATGTTGCAAAATAATACCGTGTGTAGCAGTCTTAAGAAAAATAACACGTACAGCCATGCTTTCACGTCAGTCACTGCCGGCGGACAGCGACGCACTAGCTAATTGGTTGAATGTACCCCCGCCCCGCGTCCCCCAAACCATCAGAAGGGCCAAGCTTACGGCGGTTTAAGTATAGTAGAATGCTTACATGACTTCTATAGAGGATACGGATAGCAACTACGTAAGGTGACATCATTGGTCTTGTGAATATTTATATACATTCTTGTTTATGTTGTTTGAAGAAACACACACACATCTAAGTATCTATTATCACATACTAGGTATTGCCCTTTGCTCCTCCCTGTATGTTGGTTATCGCGGTAAAAAGCCTATATCCTTTCTCAAGAATTAAACTATATCCATATCAAATCCCATCTGGATCGGTTCAGCGGTTATTGATTCCCCATACAAACTTTTACGCTCCTTTTCAATACCTTAAAGGATGATTTCTGGGATAAAACTACCCTGTCCTTTCCCGGGACTCAAACTATTTCTATACCAAATTTCATCCAAATCGGTTAAGCGGTTTAAGCTTGAAGAGTGACAAAAAGACAGACACAGTTTCGCATTTATAATATTAATATGGATATGTTACTCTACTAGAACATTAAGCTGCATTTGAACATTAAGATGACTTTATGTGTTAAAGTAGGAATTGGCAGAAAATATTTTGGCTAATATAGCACTTCAGTGCTCAGTGAAACTATCAAGTATTTAGGTCGATGATTGGGTACAAATTCTAATCGTTTTATTATCCATTTCCAAATTCTTTAGGGTCGGCAGATTGCAATAGTTTTGGCTGGTGTCTTATGTGGCCGGCGATCTGCCTGTCGCCAATACCTCTTGGGGTATTTAATCGTTTAAAGATAGAACACAGGAAGAACGAGGAAGGAAGGAATTTGGGAAAAGAAACTGAAAGTACCTACACTAGCAGTGGGACGTCCTATGATTGATGAGACTGCTAGAACATGACAACTGACTGCAATAGGTACAAATAACACAGAATTTAAATATACAATTTATTTTCTGCTTAACGCAACATAGTTAGATCATGATTTTGATCAAATTTTGGGTTCTTCTCAGGTCCATCGACTAAGAACTTTTCAGGTTCGAAATCTGGGTCCAAAGTTTTTGATCTGCAAATTTCTTTGTACACAAAGGCTGATTTTCGCGGAGTCCTTGCTTTGTCACTGGACGAGAAATCTACTTCGTAGAGTCCAAATTTTTCTCTAAAACATAAAAAAATAATCAAATAAACAAACATATTAATTTACAATTCAACACAGATGTACTTATAACTTTTTTGCGTCGAGTCCTATCTCGCGACTGTATGTCTTTGGTTTGCCGAACATTATAGATTAATTACGAAGGAAATTATTGTAAAGTGTCACGGGTACCTTGTCGTTTTTGATGACTTAACTAATGGAGAATAATTTCCTTAAAGAAATTCTGCCCGCTTGTCAAGACTCTAAGTACTGTACTCTGTCTGTCGTCTGTTTAGTCAGGCTCCATTCAGGAGATAAGCATAATGAGGTCAGAGAAAGGTAATAAAATTCGTTTTCCTTAGTAACTTACGTGTATCCTTGGAACCATTCAAAGCTGTCAGTTAGTGATCTTACACTGTAACCCCTGATATCAGCTCCTTCAAACACAGCATCGAGCAACACATTGAGGTAAGCCCTCAAATAATGGATTCTATCTTCGTCAAGCAAATTACCTGATGTGGACCAACCATTCTCTGTTATGTATACCGGTGGGTTGTCATACAATGATTTAATTGCCATTAGGACTTTGAGAAAGCCCCATGGTACTTCCTGCAATAAACAGGATGATTATATGCAGATTTATTTATTCTATTTTTATTTATTTTGGCTACATTTATCAAGGCAAGTGTAGCAACACACACCTTCCCATTGCCTGACGTGTTATAGCTGTGGTCACAAGTAGCATGGCTCAGCACAGTCCTGCCCAGGTCGAAATGTATAATAACAAATATTACGTGATCGGGTCAATTCCCGTGTACATCACCATCAACAGCCTTTAATAGTTCACTGGACGTAGGCAAATCCTTAGAAAGGAGGTACATACAGAATGAAAAATCAAGAATCGCGAACGTTTAAAAGATCTCGGCGGTGCAACTGACTTTTAAAGTAGCTTCTAGAAGGAGGATGTTCTCAGTTTATTCTAGACTGTTTTGTGTCAATATTAATTTTAGCTTATCTCTACTTTTACATCGGAGATGATTATGTGAAGTTAAGAAGATAAACGTTTAATTGGTTGAATTTTGTGTACCTGCAACCAAGTTGACGCTGCTTGGGTCCACGATGGGTCTTTGATTAACACAGCTCCTTGATCATCCATAAACGATGGTACAGGGTACATTCCATCCAAAGAGGCATCTCTATACGTTAATCTTGTAGTGTAAGAATTGACACCTAAGAAATCAGCAGAGCCTTTTATCAAACTCACTTCCGCAGCAGATAGTTCTGGAAGACGAGACTTTGGGAAACCTTGTTCCGCACTTTTCACAGCAACGTTATTTTTTACCTCTTCTGGATAATCACCGGCACTTGAGAATATTGGGTGTGCAAAGTATTCCCACTGAAATCAGAACTATAGTATTAACAACTTGAAACATCTCAGACACGGCCGTCTCATCCCTAACTAGGCCGAGCACGTACCATGGTAAAAAACCTGCTAATAATCATATTTATAATGATATATTTTTCTAAACACATACATATTACAGATAAATTATTTATTTAGGAACTGAATTGGGTGGGAATTGAACCTACGACCTCCGGCTTAGCAGTAAAGATCGCTAACCCATAGACAAATCAATCTAGTCAATTAACCGTTTTCCTTTTTTAAACTTTTCTTATTATTGAGATGAAAAATAAATGAAAAAAAAGGTATTGACATGGATTTAATAATTAATAACATGTTGATTTTTTAAGACAATTCCCGAAGTAGGAATATATCCTGTGTCGCGGAGGACTTTACAAACATACATGAAACGGACACTAAGAACACCCAGCCTCAAGACAACAATATGTAGATCACACAAAGTTACAATTTTTTTTTTGTTAATGCCAAATACTTGTTGCATAGACATACTTCTTTTAAATCTGTCCGTGTATTTTCCAATTTATATTTACCTTAAAAAGGAAAAAGATCTTAAAAGGATTTCAAAGTTATCAGAAAATATGACTTACTTACATCAAACTTCCTTGCATCTTCAGCTGCCTGATGATCATCATAAGAACCCGATGCCGGTTCATACCATACGAAGCTGATTGATATACCAATTGACCCTTTGCAGGTCTTCCTAAACTGTTTATTATACAACTCGTACACCTTCGCATGAGCTAGCAGAACATTCTTAACACAGATATACTCTGCTATACCAGACACGTTCATCATTGGAGCTTGAGAAGTGGAACCGTACCCTCCGACACATATTGCTTTGGGATCATTAATTGTTATCCAATACTTTACTTTTTCCCCAAATGAAGTGAATAAAACCTTGGCATAATCCACGAACCATCCGACAATTAATGGATTAGACCATCCCCCAAATTTTTGTAGATTCTGTGGAAGGTCCCAATGGTACATTGTTACCATAGGCCGTATTTTATTCACCAACAATTCTTCTATGAGGAGTTTGTAATATTTGATTCCAAGCGGGTTTACTTTATCTGCGAAACCATTTGGTAAGATCCTGGTCCACGATATGGAGAATTTGTAGAAGTCCAATCCCAATTCCTTGGCTAGTTGCACATCTTTTTGGTAGAGATGGTAGGAGTCGGTGGAAATGTCTCCTGTGGTCCCGTCCTGGACCATATCCGGATTTGCGTGCACTGCCACATCCCATATTGATAAGGATTTACCTGTTAAGATTTAGTCAACTGGTAAGTTACTTATAATTATATGTTTGAATTATCCGCGTGTTCCTGTTGAAGCGGTTTAAATAAGTATTTTATTTATAACTAAGACATCTTTACCGTAATTCACAGGGCAAGCAAAATGGACGAGGAGCTGAGTGATCAATAGATGGCGCTATACGTATCATTTAGGTAATTAAGATACTCATTATATTCAACAGTTCCTATAAAACAAAAAATACTAAAACTTTTAGTATTTTTTGTATTATAGGTCCGCTACCGTCACGCATGAACACCTGTAACCTTGTAACTGAAGAGTCCCAAAAGCATTTCATTACATGGCATTTAAGGCATTTGAGGTGGAAGTACGTTCTGTTTTTAAGGTATTTGAGGTCGCATCAGCCTGGAAATACTGCAGACTACAAATTTGTTCTACAAACTGGTTGTAAGATCCAAAAACTTTCTTGGGAAGCATACGGTGGTGTCAATTATTCAAGTGCATTGGAAGATGGTGGAAAGCTGAGGCTGGTAAAATTCAGAACAATCTCTCCTTAATACAAACTATATAGCTTTCTATTATACAAACTATACAGAATGCAGAGTGAAGCTACATCAACAATTTCATTGAAATTTAAAAATACATGTTTGCCGTAATACTGTGCAAGACATTAAAAAATAATTTGATGACATACTTGTTGCCAACGAAAGTTAAGCAAAGTGGAAGCATTGGTAAAATAATGATTGCTTCTTTTTTGGGAAAATCGGGACATTACCGTACAGTATCGCTTGAAGATCAAAGGACAGTGACTGCAGTTTGGTACGCCAATACTTGCTTGCCCAGCGTCTTAAAAAAAGTTCACGAAAAGCGTCCTCGAAGCAATGTCCTCCTTTACCACGATAACGCATCCTCACATTCTGCTAAGGCAACAGAAGCCTATCTGAAGGTTTCAAATGTTTAATTGACGCCATACGCCTTACAGACGGAACCCACGGGATGAATTGGGGCAGTCAGTCATCAGGTCCACATCAGTATCCACTATTTTGGATGTTCTTTTAAAAAGATGCTTGGAAATGTATGGATTAAGGTCTAAGTCAAACTAAACCGTCTTACCATCTTCTTCCCAAGCTCCTTCTACTTGATAAGCACTTGATGAAGCACCAAACAAGAACTGTGGTGGGAAATGCCTTATTTTATTTTTGACTTCATCACTTAAATCGACAAATATACTGAAAACAGAAGCATAGATTACAATATAATATATAATTTTATATTCTACAATCTTGTACGCATAGACTTACCCCAGAAGCAGAAAATAGATGATCACCATTGTGTGGCACAATACTTTGTGAAGTTACAGTTCGTTTGTATGGATTGCTTTCTACTACTTTTGAATTATCTAAAGTTACCGATTGCTGCAGACTATTCTGCAATCTTTTGAAATATCTTATTAATTTAATGTCAAAGGAACTCGAGAGATCTCACACACAGCCTTCTGATTCCAAAATAGGCAGTGTCTTTATTATGGTAATTAAACCGTTAATAGACCGTATATATTTCTAAATAAACACATAGATATATCGCCTCGGTGGTGGAATGTTAGCGTAGGCGACTGCTGTGCTGAGGTCAATTCCTGGGTCGGATAAAATTATTGTATGTTCTGCAAATAGTTGTTACTTAAAAAAAAGTATATAAGTATTCTATCAGTCAATCATCTTTTCATTCATTCTTTCATCGTACCTACAAGCTCTGCTTAGTTTACAACTAGAGCACGTTGTGCCAGACAAAAAAAAATAGATGAATTACATCCTGAACAGATTATGATCGTGTTCATCACACAATTATTTGTCCTGGGTGGGAATCGAACCCACGATCTCTAGCTTAGCAGGCAATGTATGTATGTTAGCAAAATCCTGTTTCTTATATTGCCTCTAGCCTTATCGATACATTATTTACAATGGACATAATTGAAGAGCGGGTCCACAGGTAGGGTCAATGAGGTGATGATCCCTCCTGATCAGACTAGAATGGGACTGAATCTAATTCGGCCACAAATGAATAGGATGATTCGTCTTATTACTCGGATTTTAAGTTATATGCCTTAATATACAATTAGAAAAACGCACAGATACCCTCGCAAATGTTACGAAGAGGTTTCAATTTTTTGACGAAGAACTAATTATGATTACAATAATTAGTTACAAAGATTTTACTTCTTAGTTAGCGCAGTTCTGACTAATTCTTTAATAAATTCGCTCTTCTCCATATTGTGTAGTAGAGGAAGACATAATATTTTTCGTTTAAACACAACAATAATAAATTATTATTTGACATAATATCATCATCATCATCATCAACAGCGAATAGCAATCTACTGCTGGAAAGCGGGTGCGTATAGGGTCTATTTCAAGTTTTCCTTCTCTCTGTAGTGTTGTTGTCCTGTATTATTGACATATAATAATAAAACACTATATCCTTTTTCATTAAATTTACTACTTTAATCTTGCCATTTACATTTCAGAATTACCCACATTTGAATAAAAATCAATTTGTTTTCACAAAATATTTTAATGAATATTTTCGACACAATAGCTGAGAAATCATAACATGGAAGAGATACACTTCCTGCAGAATGTTATAGAGATTCATCAGTTCTCACAAAACAGCTATTGTCTTGAAGAATCCCGTTATCTACTTATATCCACAATACTGTATTTATTAAGACTGTTAGACTGTAATCATCATCGCAGTCATTAAAACAAATTTTATCATTAGTATCGTAATATCCGTGTAGTGACGGATTAAGAATACGGAATATCACTACCCCAATTCATCCCGTGGGTGTCGTAAGAGTCGACTAAGGGCGCAAAACAACGCAGGACACCAGCACTGCAAAAAGAAGGAAAACTTGACACAAACCCTATACCAACCCGTCTGGCCAGCGTGGTATAGTAGGCCAAAACCTCCTTTCTAAGGAGAGGCCTATGTTCAGCAGTGGACTATTACAGGCTATTGATGTGATGATGTTGATGTGATTCATATTTTTTGGTCTTGTCAGCGATTCTGACTCCTAACCTAGATAGAGGTCGTGGGTTTGATTCCCACCCAGAGAAATTTCACTTGTTCTGTGTCAGATTGTAATTTAGCTATAATTTATATGTATTTAGAAAGAAATAAGTTTGTTTACTTATTTGTTATACTTGAAACAAACCCTATACTAACTTGTCTGACCAGCGTTTTATGGTAGGCGCAAAGCCCCTTTCTAAGGAGAGGCATATGTCCAGCAGTGGACTATTAAAAGCTGTTAATGATTATGATGATCATGACTGATTAATATATAATCCCGGTTGATGATGATGGGTTTGTACCAGATTACGTAAGTAGAACTTATCGGTAGGCAAAATGTGATCGTTTAATACGCCTTGTTTATTAAAAAAGTAAGTAAAAGATCACAAAACTGCAAAATTTGCTGGACAACTTGTGTAGGATATAATAATACGATAATAGTTAATTTTACTTAGTGATTTTCTTACACAATGAACAAAGAAAATTAAAATAAATAATATTTGTAGTACAACAAACAATATTATATGGCAATTTAAACAAATATTACGTAACGAGATTAATTTATAGGTATCTCAGGTGTGATTTTCAATCATTAAGTCTCATACTGACAAGGTAATAACCCGTCAGTTGATAACCGCTCATTGCCTTCTTGTGTGCCAGCCGTCTCCAGCGATCTCAAACCTGGCATACCGAAATAAATTTTTAATTTAGTCAAATAATTTAGGTACCCAAAATAATGGAACATAAGTAAACATAGAAATCATTTTTAGGGTTCCGTACCTCGAAAGGTAAAAAAGGAACCCTTATAAGATCACTTTCTTGTCCGTCTGTCCGTGTGTCACCACCGATTTTTTAAAAAACGGGTAGACCTAGCAAGTTGAAATTTATACCAGATTCTTAGGTCTATAGTCGCTATTAGGTGTATAAAAATCAAGGTCCTGAGTCAACACGATAAAAAGATATGCGCAAATTTCGATTTTCCCGAAAACTTGTAAGTACCAAAATTTACCTTAATTTGCAACTTTTTTTATTTTTCAGAATTTTCTCTATACTTGTGGTGTAAGACCTAGCTTTTAACCAAAATTGACAATTCTAGGTCAACCGGAAGTACCCTATAGGTTTTGGGTCGAAAACCTATATAGTAGTTCCCGTTGACCTAAATAAAAAAAGTTGAAAATTAAGATAAATTTTGGTACTTACAAATTTCCGCGAAAATCTACGTAAATCTGGGTAGGTACGGAACCCTCGGCGCACGAGTTCGACTCGTAACTGACCGGTTTTTTAAAGAAAACAAAGCTCTGTTCAAATCATTTTGCTGAGTACATATAATGACTATTTATATATAATTTTCGTGTTTTGTGAAGGACACCACTAGTCGTCTATTAGTGACTATTGCTGACTATTCATCATAAGCAGTGGTGTGGTGTAGTTCAGTGGTGTCATTTACAGCACACGATAATTTTAAGTTCACTCAGTAAGGGGGCAAGCTTATTGCCGTCAACATGGCACTTAGGCATTAGATGGGAATTTAATAAATTAGATGGGAAATTGGGAGTAATGATATAAAAGGGATAATATACCTTTATCTCAGCTCAAATTTTGTTGAGTTTGGAGCGACAGTGATACAACTGCAAAATAATGTGAATCTAACCAAAGTTCCTTTAAAGAAGTTATAAAACAAAATAATTGTTTTTATACTTATTTAAATACAAATGTTAATTGGTTTGTATACGCTTCATGACCTAAGAAGTTCTGAATCGATTGAGCTCAAATTTTACCAGGATATACATCCAATCTGCTTCAGGGATATTTTTTGATTTATTTTACGCTTTATTTTTGATTTCAATGTGCCACAGCGAAGCGTGGGAGAGAATATAGCTGTTCTCTGTCTGTATATGATATATGTTTATAAATAAATTTAAGGGAGAAATGTTTAAATATATTTATTTTGGAGCTCAGACAGACATTTAGACAAATAAAAAAATTACAAATACAAATCTTCACAAGTACTATTACATGTATCAACCCGATTCCATTTCCAAAAGAGGACTTCGTTTATAACTATATCAATAATATGGCTTCTTAGCAGCATTCAACTTTGCGTAGTACCTGCAAAATAACATTAATTTGTATCTTAGAATTTATTTAAAATCATTTTCAACCCCGGGATAGAGCCTGGCTAGGTGCAACGTCGATCTGGTGGCGCAATAACATGGTCCGGGTCCTCCCCCAAGCAGGTGAGCCTGAGACCAGCTATCGGGTTGGTTTTTAGTAGAAACACCACATACTCTTGGCTCCTATGTCCTCGAGGAGCCAGAGATCCTAAGGGGATTTCCACCCGTCAAAAAAGAAAACAAAAAAAAGTAAGTACCATTTCCGATCGTCTTTTGTTGAAGAGAACGTTGAAGAGTCATGCTCGGCACAAATGGACTGGCTCGACCGGAGTGGAGTTGACTCAATTGACGGCAACATACTTGTGACTCCTGAGTTTAAGGCGCTCATGGGCGGCGGTACTCACTATTCATCAGTGACCTGCCTGCTCATTTTCCTTCTCTTCGATTAAAAATATCCCTCTGTCTAAGGGGCACATATTAGAACCCATGGCTGTTAAAACCAATCAGGGGCTTCGGACAGTGAGGGGCTTGACATCCTTAATTAGTAGGTTTATTCAAAACCATTGGCACTCACGTTGTATGGTTTGTGAACTTCATCATCAACATATTTTAGGGGATCTCCTTAGAAAGGATGTTTTGGCCTACTATACCACGTTGGCCAGACGGGTTGGTATGGGGTTTGTGTAAAGTTTTCATTTTCTTTGCAGTGCTGTTGTCCTGCATAGTTTGCTCCCTTAGTCGGCTCTTGCGACACCCACATTATGAATAGGGGTGGTGACACTCTGTATTCTTGATCCGTCACCAAACACAATAGGATGTCACTTAGGATTTAAAATAAACTGGCCAATACCTTTTAATACTCTTACGATAAACGCTTGATCTTATCCGTGGAGATTCAGATGTTCTGACAGAATCTGTTAATCGTCTCCTGGGACTGTACAGCGACTATGAAGCAAAAAAGCAAAAATTCTAGTACAGCGTGTACAGAAACTTATTTATTTACTAATTTCTTTCAAAGAAGAATATTTGTAAATGATATTTGATATGCTCTACCTATAAGCTAAAGTGAAGCTTTGGCCTTTACAAATCCACATTCTGGTAAGTAAGGAAAGTTTTATTTTTTCTCTCTGGAAGATGTGTCAGTTATAATAAGCTAGAATTATCCAGAATCATCATCAGCCTATAGCATTGTCTCTCCCATTGCATGCCACTCAGAATGGATATACAAATAGTTTTTGACGGACAGATTCTGGAAAACTACAGAATCGATTTCTATAAAAAGGGTAAACTTCACCATTGGATGGCAAATGTAACCTGATCGTTCGGGACTCATCTTACTTGAAAAAACCAGACAATATCTTAAAATAATGCTAAATCATTATAGAAATTACAGTTTTAGTTCAGAATAGGAATGGTTAGAAAAATACCTTTCTCGGTGAGTAGCATTCGTCTAGTCTCTTCGTTTTGCGTTGATAAGCTGCAAATAATTATGTACAACATATATCACTTACCTGTATTACTTTATACTATCAACAACTCTAAAATAACAGGGCATAAAACCAGTCTTTTTAAATTTCTGTAAAATTATAAAGATAAAATAGAAATTGATGTGGTAAAGTATTAAAGAAATTATAAATTGAATTCTGCATTATAGTACTGATCATGTAAATTAGACAATAGATATTGCGAACATTGTCACACTTAGGTCTTAGGAATTTTGCTCCATAAGCAGTTTAAGCTGGTTTTCATCGTCGTCATCATTAACAACCTTTAATAGTCCACTGCTGGACATAGGCCTCTCCTTAGAAAGAAGGTTTTGGTCTACTATACCACGCTGGCCAGACGGGTTGATATAGGGTTCGTTTCAAGTTTCCCTTCTCTTTGCAGTGATGATGTCCAGCTCCCTTAGTCGGCTCTCACGACACCTGCAGGATGATTAGGGGTGGTGACCCTCCGTATTCCTCATCCGTCACCACACGGGAAATATGGTTTATGGCTCTAAAATTGAGCAAGTTTTGTGAGCACTACTTGCATAAATTGGCAACATCAGAGAAGGAACTTCCGTCACTCAATTACTAAACTTAAATTATAAGTTTATATAAGTTATATATTTTATCTCTACATCGCATCGGTACGTATAACAAACTATCTCGGTGTTGCCAGGCTTTTATTAAAATATCTAACATAGCTTGACACTTACCTCTTCTACTTCCAATGGGGGAACGAACTTTCTCCCGATCATGAACTTTCTGAGTTTGGTGTTGATAACGATGAACGTCAGCCCTTGGCATATTCGTAGCATATGCAAAAAGCTCGTTGTAGTACCTCTGAGACTAAAATGTAATGTTTTTTTGAAACAAAGAACCCACAACACTCAGCGGAGTGGGTAGCGGAGGAATTTACAAACATACATGAAACGGAAACAAAGAACATCCAGACTCAAAACAGCAATTTGTGGATCACAGAAAGTGTTGTCCCATGTGAGGATTGAACCCACAACGGGATAAAGTGTGGGTAGCATTCTGTATTCTTAATCCGTCGACACACGAACAACATGTATGTGTTTAGTAATATACAAGTGCGAGTTTGGGATCAGACGGGAAGTGCCGTGGGAGAACACACAGTGACCCCACGGCCTCACAGAAAAAGGGTTTAACAATTCTTGCTTTTCACCGAGTGTGTGAGGTTACCGGCGCCCATACCATATCCTTATCTCTCTCTCTCCTCTCATTTAGTGGGGAAGGACTGAAAGGGCGGCAATATAGTTATGTCTCTTAATTTGCAGAGGTTCATGGGCGGCAGTACGAACCATCTGTTCGTTTGCCCTCCTATGGCATAAACTAACGGTCTTAACATCACTTATGACTAAGTTTGGTATACTCACCTCAAGAAGGTACCGGGACGGCGTCATGATGTTCAGATTTGAGAAGTCAAATCGCCCTGTTCAAATAATGAAAAATATTTCTTAAGTGTGAATAAACGATATGAATAAATGGCAATTGTATTATATGAAAAAGATGTATCTGATTTTATTTTAGAATAAACCAGCTGAGACCCGCGGTGTTACCCACGTTTGTTGTTATAACCGCGGGCAACGCCGCGGGGCGAAGCTAGTCTAAAAAAAGAAGCCTAAGTTACTCCTTATGTCATCAGCTATCTGCCAGTGAAAGTTCCGTCGAAATTGGTCCAGCCGTTCGAGATATTACCCGGAACAAACAAACAGACAGACACACAGACAGACAGAGAGACAAAAATTGTAAAAAATGTTATTTCGGCATATGTACCGTGTAAACATACATTTGCATTTAGTAAAAAGCGGTTATTTATTTATTTATTTGTATAGAGTATAGAAGATTGTCATATTTATGTAGTCACATTAATGTAAGCCGAATTTATACCGAATCAAATTCACCAAGAGGCGGAACGAATGCTTGTTAGACACCAACCAATAAGTTCTTAGACAAACAATGCATACTTACATGGCGGTATAATTTGTGTACCGCTCTGAAACTTGACGAAACGTCCATCAGCCGTGTTTGGCTTCCTCCTTTTACCGTCAATGATTCCTCTCCTTACATCCTCTATTTCATTGTAACCTGTCTTCTTCTCAAACAGATTATGGCCTTTTCTTTCCACTAGGGGACTCCACCAGTCACAGGTAATGGTACCTGTGTCTCTTAATACTGTTTTTTCAGTTGAAGTGGCCTGGTCGTTGTTGGTGACAAATTTGACCTTGTGGTGATGACATCGTCTATCGCTGAAGTGTACTGTTGCCATACTGCAGTAGGTCGTGTCAGTTTTGAAACCCTCATCGCTAAACAAGCACGAGGCGCTTGCTATGTTAGAGTCTGAATCTTCCATAAGTTCGTTGAGGATACTTTGGTCATCTAAAAATTAAGTTTTTTTTATTTCCGAAGGGCCTAAATTGACAATTATACTAGAATTAAAACGATTTGTAAGATTGACGTTACTGAACAATACTGTACTATTGAATTTATTTGCTAAAACTTCTCGATAGTATGCGAAAAAAGCAAAACTATTCTCAAATGTGTTAATATTTATTTACATCTTACTTGTTTTATATGTGGCTCGTAGAACCAAAAACTTACATTTTGACTTTAGTCAAGGTTTTTAAAGCTGTCAATTTAGAAAAGATATTGCCCGCTCTACTGCTTCTATTTCTAATTTTTATAACAATAGTTAATAAAGAAAAAACAAAATCCACGTTACCCAAATCACATAGGCTGCTCTCAAGTGATAATCTTCGAAGTTTTGTATTTTCTTTACTTTTGGTCGAAGCTGAAAAAATATGTTATTTCTGATAAGTTCAAAGCCTTAGTGCTATTTTGAGCAACCTGACTGTTTTAATACTTAAAGCACTTAAGTAAATACCTTCAGACTACTATACTTCAAAATTTGGAAAATATTGGTAAGACAACACATAATATAATACACAACAACAATAAATAATATAGATCTTTTTTTCTGGCAATTTTTTTGTATCGCCAATGGTCGATCGCGTAATGGCCATTACTAAGAAGTATATTGCAGTAAACCGACCTCATTTTTATCTTTTAGTTAGCTTGAAGTTACTATTGGCATACACAAATAGTGGCTAGTTCATAATTAGAAGCTTAGTAGCTTCACTTTTTCTCGGGAAGAAAATACATAACAAAAGAATTTCAATCTGTTCGGGGCAATGTTCTATCTCCCTGACTGCTGAATAACAATCCGTGTGTTTGACTTACGATAATTATACAAGTGTATGTTTTTTATGTTCATCAGTTTTCCTTTCTCATTTGCAATCTGTGGGAGTGATTCACTGAAGTGTGGAACAGGAAGCCGCGGAAGTATTTAGTCAATCAGCGCGCTGGGTGTTAAATGTTAGGCTTTCAGATTTTAAGAGTAACGTCAGATTTTACCCATCCGTGTGGTGACGGATTAAAAATACGGAGTGTCATCACCTCTATTAATCCCGTGTGTCATAAGAGCCGACTAAGGGAGCCAACTACACAGGACAACAGCACTGCAAAGAGAAGGAAAACTTGAAACAAACCCTATACCAACCCGTCTGGCCAGCGTGGTATAGTAGGCCAAAACCTCCTTGCTGAGGAGAGGTCTATGTCCAGCAGTGGACTATTAAAGGCTGTTGATGACCCATCATATTCTAGCCTTGTTCGTTTCATTATCATTTATCTAAGAACCTTTTCGTCAGCCAACCAATAGATACCACATAAATGATAAATTAACTTATTTTTATTTTTTATTTTTACTTTTTACAAAATAAGTTAATTTATTTATTTGTTAAGTTTATTCCTTAGATCTTTTAGACAATCTTACATGTCAATAACCTTGGATGGACGTCTTTATGAGGGAACTATTTTAGTTTTGAGATGACCAGTCAAAACACACAGTAGTGTAAGGTAAGGAATGTGTTTATCGAGTTCCATGGAATTTGAACACATCTTAGGGTGTTCGACACTGTACGAAGAAGACCGTAACTTACCAGAGCTCTTTCTTCCAAATCTTTTCCAACAGTAGTTGTAACGAGTCCCTTTATGTGGAGCCGTCTTGTCAGCTTTGGTTTTTTCTCTTTTTTCGTTATGGCACTGACTGGTATCGTGGTAAATCTTATCTAAAGATGAAAGTCCATAAATTTAACCTAACATTTGTGGATACTAATAATAAACCAGAACTACGTATAATGTAATAACTTTAATAATGCGTCATAGTACCGCCCATATTTTGCAAATAGTAATTTTATCAAACTTACGTAATTCCTTAAGTGGTTGACGACAAGACTTGTGGCGACTTCCATACACAATGAAACAAAAACATACTATAGCGCCATCTCACGAAGACACACCGAACTACGGGGTATCTGATAATTATGAAACTTAACATCCGTGCCTCCACAAACTTTTTCTATGCAAGTCTATTGTCGTCAACCATTTTAGGAATTAGATTACTAAATTAGGAGCTCAATTTAAAAGGAAAGGTTGAAAACAGGTTCCTATCATCCTTTCCTTTCAAATTTTAAAGACAATGGTAGAAAAGGGATATTGCTTGTATGGGATGAATAAAGGGACGGATCAGGAAGTGTAAGCAATAGCTCACATAGGTCAGGATCACGTATCTGTAACTTAAACGATTCCAAACCAAGAACATGAACAAGGCGTTCCAAGGCATAATAGGTTTATACTTACAACATTATGCAATGAATGTACCTAAATATACTCGTACTCATGACGTTTATGTCTATGACGTTTCGACGTATTGTAAACGATGTGTGACGTCATCACTTAAATTAAATTTTCCCAATTAAGTAGTGTAACAACGGGCATAAGAGAAACCCCTCAGAATCGCTTCTAGCTTAGATCCGTTGTATTTGTTTGTGATCTTTTAGACATTATTATTATTACAGCTGTTATTTTTAAATAAAATACGAGTAAAGCTTACTTGCATATTGTGGTTTTGTATCGGCTCCCGAACGATTTTTCTTAAATGAAAATTTGATAATGTTGTCCGGAGGATGCTTGCTCCGTGCCGATACTCGAACGCCACTGGATGGCAACATCACTGCATAATCCTCTGATGAAACTTCCTTATTTAGTGGTAGTAGGGGTATGGTAGGAGAAGGAGACCTTTTACGGATGAATTCTGGCTCAAGCTTCGCTTGTACCGCTATCTGTTGGAACTGCGATTTCGGTGGCAAAATCTCCTCAGAAAAGTTGGCGGTAATTGATTTGTTCTTAAAAACGCTTTTATTTACACAATAACCCCCGGAGTCCATTGGGGTGTCTCTTATCCGTGGGGCAAGGTTTAGGGCATCACTGATTTGGACGGGTATCCTAATTGTAAGTGGTGAACGCTTTCTTGTGACACGCGTTTTTATGGTCATTGGCGGTTGTTCGATTTTCTTTTCACGCGGTGTCAGAACTTCTAGAGATGGAGTTGTCAACAACAATAACGGTGACAGATGTGATATTGATGAATGCTGTGATGCTATTTCTGGTACTCGTGAGCGCCGTTGTTGTTGTTGTTGTTGAGGAGCTGAGAACTGCTTAGGTTGGCTATGAGGTGAACTTCGTCGAGGCAGACAACGTGCAGATGGGTTCCGCACTCGATGCTCTTCCGGTCTGATATTGTTCTTATATTGGGGGGTGTATATAATTCTTGTTTTAACCTCTCCACTTACTCTGCCTGTAAAAGCAAATTGCCTATAGAGTCGATACTTAATCGATACTTAATTCGCAACGAATTAGTAAAGCGTACAGAATTTTTATATGTATTAATTTAGGAAACTGATCCATTGACAATATTACGTTTTTAGTTATTGTTTAAGATTTATAAGCGAGCCGAGGGTGAGTTGTGTTTTTCTATCTAATTATTACTTGAACCTGAATTCTTCTGAACTCTTGTAGGTCTGGAGCGAGCCGCTTCATCAGCTTGTACCATCTGTGGCGATGTAGACTCTGATATCATCGTCCGTTTTGGTGACAGTCGAGTGTGACTTGGTGCTGTTTGTGAGAAATGCATCGGTGACACTTGATGTGAAACAAACTTCGGGAACATTGGAAAACAGGTTCGATTTTGTACATCCTGGTTGCTGTACTGGGTTGAACACTCACATTTAACAACTTTTTTTTTCTTGCCTGTAATGTAATTGATAGTAATGAAATGAATAACTATCGAAACTGATGAATATTTTTTTGCTATATGATATGAGAACCACCAAACCCCACCTTGAGATGGCGGAGTGAGGCCCGGTCCCTCGTAATCCATGATGTTCCTACCTATTGACCAAAAGGCGCCCAAAGATTACAGGGTTTCCCGGCAACAACCTTCTAAGGGTATACCTGGGTCCTTTGCAATTGATCACTGTTAACGGAACACGATGTGGTTTCCATTTTACAGTAAGCTCCAGAGAGACAATGGCCTCAAGACAAAAAAACTATTTAAACTAGGCAGAGCCTGGACTATGGTAACCAGACTGCTGATAAACATAGTTATGTAGGGCTCACACACAAAACAACATAAGCGTAAACGCAATTACACTATCATAAAAATAATTTCACACAACACTCGTATTCGTCCTAAGTGGGAATCGAACCCACGACGAGCTTCACAGTCATCACTAAGGTTTGGAAATAGTTATTTATTACTTCTTAACACTACTCAAGACATTCACGGCACTTATTTTTTTCCATTATAGTGTTGAGTGATGTGGGTCGCTCCAGAACGATCGTATAGTAGGTACGTTAAGTTAGTTGGTCCATGGCCCCCTTACAGCCTGCGCGTTCTCGTGTTATTGTTGTGTTATTATATAAATAGTATAGTGTTGTGAATGGACAGTTTATTCTGTGTCGCGTTGTGTATATTGTGTGTCTCTTGTTTGTACTCCTTCTGTCTTTTAAATGGTATATCGTGTTGTGTACAGACAATAATTATAACAGTAAGTGGATATTGGCTTTTATTTATATTTACCCGTAAGTACACATACTGTTCCACATTACTATACTTATATATTTCTAAATACATACATAAAGTACTCCCAGACACAGAACAAATGACCGTGCTCCTAACACAATTATTTGTCTTGGGTGGGAATCGAACCCACGACCGCTGGCATAGCAGTCAGGGTCACTAACCACTAGACCAACAGGCCAGTCATATTCTTATAGCTCATGATTTATATTGTGTCTTTATTAAGGATATTGAGCATTGAATATAACATTATAACCTGGTGATGCCTTATTTGCTTGTTTATAAGCGCGTGTACAGCAACAATCCACAACCGAAGTCACGCTCTGATCCGAAGTATTTGGGCAAAGCGGAGATGTTTCACATGGTGGAGGTTTTGGGCAGGGCGGAGGTATTGGGCAGGGCGAAGGTTTAGGGGAGGGTGAAGGTTCTGGGTTGGGTGGAGAATTTGTGAAGGGTGGAGAATTTGGGCAGGGTGGAGGTTTTGGGCAGGGTGGAGATTTTGGACAGGATGGCGAGGTCGAGCTTCTGTATGGAGTGATCTCTTTTGGAGAAGGTAAATCTTGACATTTCGGGTATACATTGCTTAATTTGATACCACTGGTTTTGCACTGAGTGGCGCACGAACACGGCAGCATTGCACTGCCACCTACGTTTTTATCTGAAAAATGAAAAAATAAAATAAATGAAATCCTAAAAATGTGTTGCATACTGGAATGTAAGTTCCAGTCTCACAGTGATTTTTCCAATTACAGGATGAACATATCTTTATCAGACCCATACCTCTTTGATATACTAGAGAGTCCCCCATTCCACATGAACTAAGGGATCGCAAGACTTAAACTTGTGGTTCCCGATTGTTACAAGATTATTCTATAAATGAAAAGCCTCGGGCATCGATGCTCGTGAGGCTTTTCATGGATGTAATAATTCTGAGTCGGATATTTTCATATTATTGTCACACATTACTATTGTCCCTTACTGTGTATAAACATACTTATACAGGGTGTAAGGGACGTCGTAACGAATACTGAAATAGTGTATTCAGACCATCATTCTAAGTCAAAAACTTTTTATGCAATCAGCTGTCAAAGGTTAAGGTCATTCCCCGTAGGTATCGCACAAAAGTAATAACTACGTGTGTATTCCATGCAAACCGTCTACGCACACTAACACAATTATTAATTATAAATATAATATAATAAAATATAAATATGATTAATAACATTGCAGTTTTTTGTATTTGTTAAATTGTTTTCGGTAAAATGTTCTGTCTACTCATTGTGATATCATTTGTTATCATTTTTAACCAGAAAAATGGAAAATTAAAAACAAAAAAATATTTTTCCGGCAGAAAATTTCAATAATTTCTGACTCAGAATCATGGTCTGAATACACTATTTCAATATGCGGTACGATCTATATTTCTAATTAAACTCAAGAGACAGAACAATTAATCGTGCTCATCACACAATTATTTCTGCTGGGTGGGGATCGAACTCTAACTACTAAATCAACAGGCTAGGCGAATATTCGCTGGCTTGTAAAGTTTGTTTTTTACAGAAATTGTTCTCACCGTCACATAAGCAATTACAGGAACCGACTCCCGCGGATGTTAGGGGCCTGCAGCAGACTCGTGGTATTTCGCACGGTGGTGGTGCTAAAATAATTGAATGTCAAACTGTAAGTACGAACAAGTACTTTTTATCATCATCAGCCTATCGCAGTCCACTGCTGGACATAGGCCTCTCCCATTGCAGAGCACTTAGATCGATTTTGGGCTTCTCGCATCCAGCTCCTGCCAGCCATCTTCCGCAAATTGTCACTGCACCTGGCCTGTGGACGTCCTACACTACGTACTTCTTATGAAACAATAATAATAGTACAATATGTCTCACACACGGTAGTCTGATCCCAGACTAGGCAGAGCCTGAACTATGATTTCCAGACTGGTGATAAACATACTTATACATTTCCAAGCACATACTTATTATAGCTAAATTATATCCAGATACACAACAAAGGACCGTGCTCATTGCATAATTATTTGGCCTGGGTGGGAATCGAACCCGTCGTGGGTTCGATTCCCACCCATTCATTCGACAGCCACCCAGTGGCTTAACACTCAGCAACACTTAACTACTAGACCGGACTCAATACCATCTTTAAATTGTTATAAGAAGAGTGAAATATGTACCTACTATACTCAGGGGAAAAAAAAAACATTTATCCGACGTCGATATTTTTTATGAAATACTCTATTTGAGGTTAGAGGACTCAGATATTCCGTTTATAGACAATTTTCGTATCTAATTCCCAAATTCCATGCAAAAACTTTACTTTTTATTGAGTGATTGAGGTTCCCGGAGGCCAACTCCCAACTGATTCTGGGGAGAATTCAAAGGGTGGAGGCCCGTCTGCATGAAACTACGCTTTTTCAGTCAAAACGTCATCATAAAGATACAAGTATAGATGCCGAATTGTGTTGTGAAAGGGTGTAAAAATCAAACTAAAAGAGATAGTAGGCTGGAACCGCATTTCACACATAAGTGTAGAAACCAATATTTTCAATAAAACAAATATTATGTCATCATCGGCCCCACGCAAACATGTTTATAAAAACGGCGTCACTTCGTTCTTCGCAAAGTTCCACCTTAACTTGTCATTTGATCTGATCCCATAAATGATTATTAAGAGTTACGTCCTGAGTACATGTTAGCGGTGTACGATAAAAAAAACATTTCGTATATTCGTGTAACTGTCAGTGTGGCTCTCAAATAGAATTCTTTCCTTTTTAATAAAACTGTTGCAGGACATGTTGCAGTGTTAGTCTGTTCGTGGGAATCAAGAGTACCTGGACACGCGCAAGTTATCTTTTTTTTCTTGTCTCGTTTACGTTTCTCTTGCTTTGGAGGAGTAGAGCAGCTATTTTTCTCGCCAACTTTCTTGTCTAAAATGACCAAAGGTGTGACATTATATATTTTACACATGCAAATAAAATATGAAAACAATGGTATAGTCAACTTTTGTTACTTTGGTTTTGGCCTACTATACCACGCTGGCCAGACGGGTTGGTATAGGGTTTGTTTCAAGTTTTCCTTCTCTTTGCAGTGCTGTTGTCCTGCGTAGTTTGTTCCCTTAGTCGCCTCTTACGACAACCACGGAATGAATTGGGGATGATGACATTCCGTATTCTTAATCCGTCACCACACAAAGAAGTAGTGTTTATTTTTTTATTTTTACTACTTAAACTGAACTAAACGAGCGTGAATGGCTCGCCATTTCAGACACTATACTTGTATAAAAACCTGACCTGCGTTAAACTAGACATTTAAACGTAGACTTAAAGAAAATGATTTAAAAATAGCAAATACCTAATGACGTCAAATGTGGCGGGTAATTAAGAGAAATTGAGGTACCAGACATCTACTATATTGTCAGCACACCTTTTTACCTAATACCATTTTAATTAGCTCATCATAATCAACAGCCTTTAATAATCCACTGCTGGACATAGGCCTCTCCTTCGAACGGAGGTTTTGGCCTACTTTACCACGCTGGTCAAACGGGTTGTAGGGTTTTTTTGCAGCGCAGTTATCCTGCCTAGTTTGCTCAATTAGTCGCGCTTACGGGTTGAATATGATGAATAGGGGTAGTGATACTCTGTATTCTTAATCTGTCACTATACGAATTTAATTAGATAATTAGCTAAAAATACTATACTAGTTTTATTTTTTCGCACACCTTTACATTCGCAGACAGATCCGACAGCCGCCGATTTCTGCTGGATCACGGAAGGCTGTGTGGTGGCTTCACAGCGTTCTCCTTTCCTACATTTACAAAATTATAAAGAAATATAGAAACTATGATAACATTAGGGCAGTATAGTGTCGCCATCGTAAAAATTGATTTAAAACATTTAAAGGGTACAGTGTTACTCTCTCAGTGGATTTCTGCTTAATTCGTAACTACATAGAAAAAATAAGAACAAACAACGAAAAAAACTGTTTGAGGAAGGTTTTAAAAGTTAGCATTGAAGAAATAATGATAAAATACGAATTTAGATATCCAGTTCTAGTAATCCTTAGATACTAGAAGGTTTAAATTCTTAGCCTACACATTGTGCTCTTTATAGTAACAATTTCATTGATTATGCATTTAGGATATACAACAAAAAAATGCTTGCCCTGCCTAGAGGAGGGTCATTTAGCCAGTCAATGCCATGGGACATTCTTTTTTTTTTCTTTCCTTCGGGTGATGTAGAAATATGATGCGGTAGGTGCAAAAATAAAATATTAAATTTGACATAGTTTAAGTTTATTTATGTTAAAGTAAAAGTTTTTTTTTTATCAAAAATATTTATTCATTACAAAACGTATACACTTTAGTTACCAAGTCACTGAGTTGGCAACTAAAGTGCGTACATTGAGGACACAGAGGATGTCTTTCGATTTCGGTGATCCTTGTGATCAATGAACTTCTGGTCAGTAAAGTCTTTGGCTTCTGAAGCACCCCATAAACTGTTCCCAGCTTGAGGCTTACTATATTGTAAGTAGATATTAGCCATAAATCAATATTGATTCAGTAATTTGCAGACGGGCTTTTGAGCAGTCTATCTTTACCATTAAATGATTGCTTACGCTTCAACATATCTGTTCTGATGATGCATACTTTTTTTATGCGAGGGGGGGCAGACGAGCAATCAGGTCACCTGATGGAAAGTGGCTACCGCCGCCCATGAACGCCTGCAACTCGAGAGTCTCAAACGCGTTGCCGGCCTTTTAGGAGTACGCTCTTTTCCTGAAGGTTTGAAGGTCGTATCGGGAATATCGCAGATGATAACTTGTTTCACAGATTGGTGGTGCGAGGCAAAAAGTGTCTTGAAAAGCGTACAGTGGATCCGAATCTCCGAAGCACCGGCCGGCCCACGTAGTTGTCAGTATAATTATATAAATTCTAAATATTGTCTTTTTACTTTTTTTAGTTAATGCAACGTAGAATACTTGTTCGTCATGATAGATCATCTAGAAAGATGCAGAATTTGGTTCATTTTCATTTCCATTGTCTTCGTCTCCCATCATCCAGAGAAAATAAAATAGTACGGTCAATGTTTTTCCCCAGCGTTTAACTCCTTGTAATTCCATGCATTATCAATCAAATCAATCTGTAACGCAAAAAACCTTTTGAAAGTAAATGACCACATAGCGACGAGACAATAAAATAGTAGTAAAACTCAATAGCATCCTTTAAATGCCCAGTGTCACTTACAAGTGACGTCATTTTTTTTTTGACGTAAAATGCATTTAAAATATACTTTATATTATAAATATACTTTATATTATACTTTATACTTTATATATTATATTAATTTATCGCATGCAAATATAGTTGAAATAATACTTACGGTCTGATTATTGCTATTTCAATATAAATGCACGAAAACACAATGTTAGAAACTACGAACGCGCGTGACATCTAAATTTGACAGTTGACGTAGTCGTAGTATTGCCAGAAGTTAGTACGCTTTTTGTTACTAATATTAGGTTTGGTAGAAAAAAAGAATATAAACAGCTGTCACCTGGAAGTGATACTGGGGATTGAACAATTAACGAGTATACTTAATTAAATGATTCAATGACTACAAAGTCAAAAATTGATAGTCAAAGAGAACTATTTACTACTGCAGATCACTTTTTTGTATGTATCAACACTAATGTTAATAAAGTTTAGGAGTTTGTTTTAGTTAAATATATTAATATCTGAAAGTACCAGTAGGATTACAAAAAATATTTATCATTGTAAGGACCAATTTTCGATTGGCTACGTCACTATGATCCTTAGAATTCGACTAGTGGCAATTAACGTAAGAGAAAAAGGGGGTAACGGTTAGTATAAAACTGCATACCTATTTAAGTTATATCTTGTATTATGCAAATATTGTATGTAATATCTTTTATTTTGCCATTCGATTTTAATTTTGTGATAGTTTTGTATTTAACTAAATCTACAGATAAATAAGTTTATTACGTGTTCATCGTGGTGCTTTCACAGGCAACGCCGGTTTCAACTAAAAAAAAACGCAAAAATTAAATACAAACAATGAATAAACAGTACAACCTTTTAAATCAATGAACAACTAAAAATCATACGAATACAAAGGCTGGTTAAATAAACTCTGTCAAGATTATTAGGAAATTATAAGACCAATAAATTGTATTACCTCCCTGGTGAGTTTGACTGTCTTCGTCACACATTAACTTTTTTTCAGTTTCTCTATGCTTTGCAAGTTCATAGCCAAGTTCTTTTTCTATTTCCTTTTCTCTCTCTCTGTGCCTTTTTTGTTCCAAAGCTATTTCTCTTTCGATTTCTTTTTCCCTTTCAATGTGTCTTTGAATTTCTTTGAGTTTTGCTTCTTCTCTCTTTTGACATATTAACACATCCTTACAACTTAAATCTTTGATATCTTCTAAAACACATTTTTTAACGCAATCCTTGTTCTTTCGTGCTCTGTCCTTTACTTTAGAGTCACACTTTTTTTCGTCTGTCGTTTTGATCTTTATTTCTTCTTTCTTGCAGAGTCTATTTTCGTTAAGTATTCGTTCTCTCTCTTTGTGATTATAACACGTCTTCTCATTACAACTAGAGGCGAATCTTGAGGAACAAAAATTTTTTGTACGCTGTTTGAAAGAAAGCTTCCGATCAGTTTGGCAAGCTTCAGGCGAACTGTTTTGTAAAACATAAATTAATAGCTTTAGATTTATTTTAAATTTTACAACTTGAAAAATATTTTTTTAATCATTACTTTGAGTTTACCCATGTATATGTCCTAAAGTATAAATATATCCTAAAGTCAATGCAAGGATACTTAATAAATATAATAAATATAAAATATAGTTTAACAAACTTATTAATGTGGGTCCATTTCCTCTGAATGTCCTCATAGGGCTCGCAATTGCATCTTCTGACTATGGAATTATTTTGAACAATTTCACTGTTATTTGAAATGACTGAAAAAGAAATTATTCCTCATATAAGCTATAAAGTACAATACAAAAAAAAAAACAATCCATTAGTGACGGAATAAGAAATATGGAGTGTCACCACCCCTATTCATCCCGTGGGTGTCGTAAGAGCCGACTAAGGGAGCAAACTACGCAGGACAACAGCACTGCAAAGAGAAGGAAAACTTGACACAAACCCTTCTAAACCGTCTGACCATCGCGGTATAGTCTTCCAAAACCTCCTTTCTAAAGAGAGGTCTATGGCGACAACAAAGAATAAAACAAAACAAAACAAAATACAATTCATAATTCAACTGTTATTACGTCATTTAGATGTTCAAATGTTATAATATTGTTTGACCGGCGCTGCGAGAAAATGCATACGTAAAATTCACTAACCGGAGTTTTTTTTCTCATGTTTACATACCCAGTGTCACTGTCACAATCAAAACGAATCTAACGATACCTCCCCATCAAAAATCCATCACGCCGTTTAAACAGCAGAGCGTGCCAAGGAAATACATACATTAAATTATTCGAAAAACATAACTTTCTGGTCCCAGTCGAGTAAAAAAATGTAGGATTTCCTTACATTTTAACACTAGCTTGTCTAACATCGTATATTTAAAACGTATTATGCTATCATGTAAGAGTTTTTAAGGATCCTTACTGGATTGGCATTTTCCCGGTCTTTTGTGAACTGCCACTCTCTGTTTCCTTTTTTCACATGTCAGCTCATCGCAGGAAGATCCAAGCAATGATGTGCACAGGGTTTTGAACTTCTGTGTCACGTCGTACATCTTATCAGATGCCGATTTTTCACGTGGTCTGAGCAAAATAATTAAAGTTAATGGTATGCCTTGATTTTGCTATCAAGAAGCTGCGTGGAAATGTTAATTTTCTGTGAGGCCGTGGTATCACTCCGGCGAGTCTGCTCATTCGTGCCGTGCATGGCTCTCCCACGGTAAAAACCTGTATGAGATGATGTTCTCTTAGAGGGGCTGGATCGTCAAGCACATTCAGAATCTAGAATATTTCTCGAATAAAATAAACAAAGGGTTTATTTCTACTTATTTATTTGTACTCCTTCCTAAAAGGCAAGCTTGTGACTCCCGAGTTGCAGGCGTTCATAGGCGGCGGTAGTTACTTTCTATCAGGTGACCCGTCTGCTTGTTTGCCCCCTCTGTCATAAAAAAGCATACGTCATGTTAATAATTGTGCAGATTAATTTATCTGGTCCTTAATATTTAGAATAATTAATAATCCTATTATGATACTTGAAAAATATTTAAATGATCTACAAAAGAAAATGTTCGAATCTCTTCTACACCTCAACAATGCCACAATATAGTGTGTGTGAACACAGATTATTGATATTTTTAATGTGGTGTATCGGGAGCGAGGAGGTGAAGAATTTAAGCCTTAAATTCTTCAGGGGGAATTGTAATTGGTTATCTGTTTTCTTGACTGCTTTTATTCTGATCATCATAGCTGTAAATCCTCCATAGTATGTAATGAATTAATAAATATTTTTAAGAAAGATTTTAGAAATATTTGTAGGAAGGAAGATCTTAGAAATATTTGTAGAAAGGAATCGTGATTTTTCCACTGTTTCAACTTAAAATTTCTTATTGTTGAAGTTAATCCAAGAGCTCGTGATTGCAGGACTTTCCTTTCTAAAATGAATGACATAAAACTCACTATGTTAGTGAATTGATGAAATGAAATGATATTTATTTCTGTAAGAAAATCTTTTCAGATATTTTTACAAGTCGGATTTTACAGCTAGATGGAGCCTGCATTTCCTAAGACTCACTCTGGGAAGAAACGCCGAAACAAACCACAGATGTGTCTTTTTTAGTCAGTACAGTCATGTACGGTGTAGGGTCTGGGTAGACCTTTTGAAGAAAGGGCCATAGTTTTGAATCAGCCTGTCTATACAGACGGCATACGAGCTCCAGCCATCGTGTAGCCTAACCGATATTAGTCAAGATCAACGACCCGAAGCGCGACACTACCGTCAGCAGGACATTGGAGTAGGCCGAGGGAACACTTAAAACCACTAGAAAGTTTCTAAATTTGAACTAATATTATAAGCCTACACTATACTCGCATGTACATACTTACAAAATAAAAATGATAAATTATACTATACAATTAAAGTTCAATGAAAAATAAACAAATTGAAAAGAAACGAAATACAAGAATACAATAAATGTCCAGTGATAAAATAGACTATGGAATGTAACTGACTTTTTGATGAGATTCCATTTTTTGAGTATGTCCTTAAAGCTGTCGAACCTGCAAGGCATGAGAGTGGTCTTCTCGCCAAGGTCTGTATTCTTTGAACCGACTGAAAATGAAGATTTCGATATTCAGGTTATATGAATGACTTAATACCACAGGGTATTGAGTACCGGTCAAATTTTGGCATATTTAGTGAGGAATATGGCTGTTTGAGAATAAATTTAAAAGTTATACACATATAAATGATAATACATGAACATTTCAGGTCGAATATCATAGGATTGATCAACATCGAAAAATTTGACCTTGTGGAACACTAGTGTACAGATCATATCAAGGCGATGATCATAATGAACGTGATAATAGACATTAGGAAGTCATGGTATATGCTGTTGAAAGCGCTTCAAAAATCTAGTAGAACTAAAATAATTATTATAATTAGATATATGTCCGTGTGGTGACGGATTAAGAATACAGAGTGTCACCATCCCTATTCATCCCGTGGGTGTCGTAAGAGCCTACTAAGGGAGCAAACTACGCGGGGTAACAGCACTGCAAAGAGAAGGTAAACTTGAAACAAACCCTATACCAACCCGTCTGGCCAGCGTGGTATAGCAGGCCAAACCCTTATTTCTAAGGAAAAGCCTAAGTCCAGCAGTGGATTACTAAAGGCTGTTGATGGGATGATTGATGATTAGATATATCATCAATTTTTATTATACATAACTATATTATCACTCATTTTAAGTATATCAGTAATTGTACTCTGGCCTGGACTATTCCCCGATTGATGTAGGCCGAGGATAACATTTTAACTTTTCTAAAGATTTTGTCTACGAAGAAGTTACCTATCAATTTTTAGGCCAACAACAACAACAACAACAACCTAACGGCTAGACGTTTATCTAACTATTGTAGGTTTATATTAGTTTATACAACGCAAAGTTAAAAAAAAAACAAATTTATAACGTTTTCAATAGTGTTTTTCTTTGCGTTAAAATTAGTTTAATTCACGGGAAATACAGTAACAGTTAAATTTTATGAATAGTTTTAATGGGAAGATGTCCTAAAGGTCTCGGAATCTATTTCTCTGATAGCTCCCTGTCATTTCAGACGAGGATTTTAGAGGCAAGGCCTATTTCTTTTGCAACCCAAAAGAAACCGTAAGCTAATAAAAATAACTTACTCTTTTGGAGGACTGACGGAGTTGATAATGATATTTTCTTTTCTATTTTTGAGTTTGCATTTGTATCTGATAGTTTTGGTTTAAACTCAAGCTGAAAAGTAATAAAAACGAAGTTAAATGAGTCAGAGACCTGAAATGACCTATCTGAAACATGTCCGACCAGACCCTATTTGTTTGAAAGATGTCGTTCAAACAACAGTTGAACAACAACAGTTAACAACAGTTACAAGCTTGGCGTTGGTAACAGCTTAACCTTTGAAATGCAAAGTCGGAGTCATTGTCATAAATCAGAAATAAACTTATGACACAATTCCCCGCTCACCAGCCGCAGTGTCAAGTTTTGCGGGTGCTTGAAAAATCTTTTTCGTTTTGAATTTAAAAACTACAAAAGTACCCACCGGTATTAATAAATCCGAGTAACCTTTGTTTTTAAATAATTCTACTGTGTCTAAAGTCCTGAAAGTAAATAAAAATATACATTGTTATTGAAAGGAATAAAGACTGCATGAAAAAAAAACCATGCAATTACCATTATTCATAACAGAATAATAGTCTACACTATGACTAAAAGGCCTCCTTTCTAAGGAGAGGCCTATGTCCAGCAGTGGACTAGTATAGGCTGTTGATGATGATGATGATGATGACTAAAAAAATAAAAACACTTCTTTATTAATAGCTTCTGATTGTAAAGGAACGCAGGTTAATCTGAACGATTATTTGAACATAACCGAACCACTACGAAGTACCAAATAATCTTTGCTAAATTCCAATTTATTTAGCTGGTTACAGAAATTTAATATGTCAATTAAAGCAAGTAGCTTTCTAACTTTTATTTTGCATGAAATGCATGTGCTACATGCACATGTATTTTATGCAAAAAGTACCGTACCGTACCAAGAAACGGAAACAAGTATCTTTTTTTCCACATGTTGTAAAACTTGTCATAATGTTAAGTGACGGATAAGGATTCTAACACTACTCAATACATCCAAATCTTTTCAAGCGCGGCGTTTAGAAGTCATAATGGAAAAAAAAAACATACGTATGTATGCTATATTATGAACCCTTAAAACTTTGCACTGCTTTTTGGGCCGTCATGGAAAAACTGCATAATATTTTGACAGACTGTTCTTGATATGTTCAGTTTGTTGTAAAACTTACCCACAATCTTTCAGCTTGGTAGCTTCTCTTTTGAATGTGTTATAAAAACTTTTTCGTTTCTTTATACAAATGGAACTGGTATCTAAAAATATATAGATAATTTACCTTTCAGGCCTATATAATATATGACTTGCTACACATAATTATAATATACTCGTACGATGAATAATTACATGGATGATGTTTTAGTAAATAAAAATTATTATATGAAACATTGAGGAATTCTTTGACGAATGAGTTGCCAATTTACACTTCTGCCTCATTTTGTTTCTCTAGGAGCAGATACTGACTAATTTAAAGAGTGAAGCAAACAGAGTTTTTCTGTCAAAATATTGGCTAATCATCTACATAAATGATACAATCTTTTGACCACATTTTCTTATCATCAATGATGAGGGGTTGCAATAAATTTATTTTTGTTCAAGTGTCATAAATAAGAATCCAGAATATCACCATTCCTATTTAACCTGTGAGTGTTCGTCAGAGCCGACTAAAGGAGCAAAACTACGCAGGACAAACAGCACTGCAAAAAGAAGGAAAACTTGACACAAACCCTATACCAATCCGTCTGGCCAGGTGGTATAGTAGGCCAAAATCTCTTTTCTAAGGAAAGGCCTATGACCAGCAGTGGACTATTAAAGGCTGTTGATTACCTCAGTGCATTACCTTAATTAAGTAAATTACAAGACTTTTTCAGTATGTCAAAAGACTTACCAACATTGAGGGAACTCTTTCGCATCAAACTCATGGAGTTCATCATTTCCTTTAGTATACTAGGAGCTGGTGAAAGTTCGGGGGCGTTCACTCGACGCTTAAACCTCTCTAAAGCCTTAACGGAACTCTCTGTAAGCAATTTTATCATTTTTTAAATGAAACTTTACTTTTAGAAACACAAAATTGAAATTTTAAAATTGTTAGAATTAAAGAACTGGAATTATTACTTACTAATTTTTACCACGTGTATATCGGTTATTGCGCTAAAAAGTAAACTATGTCCATGCTCAAAAATGTAATTATCTAAATGACAAATTTCATCGAAATCAGCTTAGTCGTAATCGCGCTTTCGCATTTATAATATGCTTAGCTTTCGCCCGCGGCCTTGCCAGCGTATATACAGGTTAACACTTTGATTCCCAATACAAAATTCGACCCCTCTTTTCACCGGCTTAATGGATAGATTTCTGGGATAAAAACTACCTTCTTATGTTCTTTACTCACTCGGACTATATCTCTGTACCAAATTTCATCCTAATCGGTTCAACGGTTTAATCTGAAGAGGTACCAGATAGACAGACAGAAAGACAGAATTTATAACATTAGTATTGATAGTAGGGATTAACCGAATGCAATGGGAGAGATTTGCGGTATTCTGCAGCGACTGCGATAGGCTGATGATGATGACAAACCAAATTCAATAAAAAGGTAAGGTTTCCAATTTAGTTGTACTATCTTATATTTGTTATCCGATTACTTATAAACAGATTTGAAAAATGCTCTTTTTATTCGGAATTTCGTAACTTCCCGCTTGGTCCCTTACATAAAATAAATTTGACGAAAAAATACCATGCCTGAGGATGTAAAATTTAGGAATAGTAGTAGAATAGTGTAGCGTGCATTCATTAATTCACTTTTTGCCTACATCATGATGTAGTTAAAAGTTAACATCCAGAAATGCCTCCATGACACATGTCTCCATTAAATTTGTTTTATAAAAGAAACCAGAGCAATGTTTTCCCTTCGCTTACTTCTCTTTAAACAGGCTTGAGATTTTGATTTTGTGATACCGTTGTTTTTGTTAAACTCAGTTAGTTCTGTAACACTCTCTGTGACTTTCTCGTCTCGCCATTGGAAGGGTCTGTTGTTTACTTGCACCATCTGGCAAACCAAAAAATAATTTTCTTCATGAAATAACGATGACATTTTTAGTTTAAAATCTAAAAACTTTAATCATGGGAAGCAAGAGCTATGCGTTGGTACATATGCCAAAACGGTTTCACAGAAAACCGTTTTGATCTAAGCCCAAGCTGAACAATTTTTGATTGAACGCGGCATCCCACAAACTATAAGCCGGGACTTGAAATAAAATCTTTCTTTACTTGAATCCACAAAGGCGTTATAAGTTCAGCTAAACCATTAGGACCCGTGCAGCGTCCATAAAAACAACTGAACGAAACAAATACTTAAATTCAGGTCCTAAGTTTTTCCCACTGCATCGACCCCAAATAAAATTGAATATAGAAGAAGAAGACGATGACCTGTACTTATGATTACTCGTACTTACGGCAACTAATTTAGTTTTGTTACGAATCGGAGGTATCACTCTACAACTGGGTGCTTTCATCACACGGCAAGAATCATCGCTTCCAATATTAACCTTGTTCGGTCTTTTATAATCCCTTTTCATCCATTCATGGTCTGCAAGGAAAGCTGATATTCTGTAATTTCTAGTACGTTTGCTATCTTTCTTGGCTGTATCTTTCTTCTCTTTTTCAATTTTTTCAGGATAATTATTTGAATCCTTCCACTTTTTTCTACGTTTATGATTCTTTTTCTCTTTTAGTTTTACATTTTCTACGTGCCTATTTGTAAGAAAACCAATGTTTGACTTCACAGTCCGCCAGTGGTTGGAAAAAAATGCATGAAAAATCGCTATCCTATGTTTTGAAGTTTTTTTTGAGATATCTTTACAAGATTTCTTTGGTTTGTTATTTTCACTGTTTTTCTTACTGTTACTCATCTTTTTCTTTTCGATATCTTCTGAATTCTTTTCTATACCTTTTGTTTTCCTCTTGTTATCCTTGACGTTCTTTTTAAGATCATTGTTTTTAGGAGTGCTGCTCATTATTGGTTTCATATCTTGAAAATTATGTTCACCTTTATCTTTATTCGAGTCTTCGTTTTTGTTACAATTTGTAGAATTAAGATGGCTGTTACTTTCGTTTAAAATTCGAACAATATTTATTATGCCTCTGACTACATTCCAAGTACTAATTTTACTATCCTTTCTTTTCATCACACATTCTGAATCTGCTTTAAAAGTTGTGAATGATTTGTGTTTGGTATTTATTTTACAGCCAACGATATGGTTCTTGGTTCTTTTACTATCATTATGTACTAGATTTAAATTATCGATGTTATGAAAAGTTTTATTATTCATAGTGGGTCTAAGGTCTTTGACTTTTTTCATTGATTGTTTCTTGTATATAGTTATTGTTTTAAAAATATTATTTAAATTAATTTTTGCCATTAAAGAATACCGTTTATCAGTATTTGTTCCTATAGATTTTACTTCGGTAAGTGTTTCTATTTTTTCTTTAGGAGGTTCAAGAATAATATTATTGTTGAAATCTAGTGAAAAGTTATATATTTTAATATCATCTTCTGATACAAGATAATTATTTTGCAATTCCTGTTGATTTATACGACTAAGTTCAGTTAAATGCCCATTTTTTAGGGAGTATGTATAAATATTTCGATTTTCAGTATCAGTAGGTTCTTTCGGAGCTATGTTCTTCTGAGTACTAGTTTTCTGACTATCGAGGAAAAAATTCCACCGTCCCACACTTCCTTGAGCATTCAGTAACCTCTCGTGATTTTCATTTTCTAACAGTCTTATCTGTAAAATTTGCAAAAAACGTAAAGTTTACGTTCATTGAATTTGTAACACAACATTAAGACGACAAGTCGTGTACACAGTTCAGATAATCAAAGTTATATTAACTATATTTTCATGATACTAAGAAAAAACTGTCACTAGAGCTCGTGCAAACTTGCACTTCGCAACTAGCGTTGCATAACTGTTTTTCTTAGGATAGAGCTGCTCCCCAGTATGGGCGGAGACCCTGAAGGCCAGCAACGTCGCACTACTGCAACGACCGCAGCTAGTGTTGGCCATCAGGGTCATAAGGGGGTACCGCTCGATCTCCTTTGAGGCCGCTAGTCTCCACCGTGGGACCTGGAGCCGAAGGTCCTTGCGGCTTTGTATCAGTGGCGCAAGGAGGCGCGGGAGTTGGGTCGGTGTCCTGAATCTCGAGGAATCGAAGATTTGCGTCTTGGCTTTTCTAGTGGTATTAATAAATCGTATAATTTAATCAAAATTTATACTTACACATTCGCTTATGTTCACATTTCCATCAAACTCAGATCCACTGTCGTCGTCGTCGTCATCGGAGGAGCCTCTATTAACAAATAAAGTACCTGTATAATTTTCTAGTAAAGAGCAAAGAAATCTGTTAAATATCTTCAAGTTCTGTGATTACCTTTCCAAACTTAAATCACTCAAATCACCATAATCGTTGGGCGACAAACAAATAGTACACAACTGACCGATATCAGAGAAGCAATTTGTGCAATATACTCCAGGGCAGTTAGGCGTTTCGCACCTTAAAATAAAAAACAAATTATAAAATCACGCCGTGAGGTGTTTTATTCCAAACTAAGCATAGCCTGTACTGAGGTCGCCAGACTACTGCCAAACATACTCGTACTTACATATTACTAAATACATTTAATAGATTTTTAGAGAATGGATACCCACACAAAAAAGTTATCGTGGTTATCATACAATTATTAGTCATATTGGGAAATCGAATCTTCGAACTCCGGCTTAGCAGCCAGGATCACTATAACCCAGCAATCTCGTGCGCGACCGTCCCGCGGGGTGACAGACAGTGGCGGGGGCGAGGTAGCGCGTCATTCTAGCACACGGCTACACACGAAGAGAAGTGTTTCCCTTCCCCGCTACACCACCCGCTACCCGCTGACATCTTGAGTACCTCGTCCCCGCCACCGTCTGTCACCCCGCAAGCGGGTCGCGCACGACGTTGATGGACTATAACCACTCAACTAACACGACCGTCAGGTTATTATATACATGAATGAATCGAGATAAGTCACGAAATGTTTCATGTCATAAGCGAGAGCAGTTGTAATACTAACTTAATATATTGGAAAATTCTGTCACCTTTTTAGAAATTTGGTGACTATAGTCACCATCCTAAATTTATCATCATCATCAACAGTCTTTAGTAGTCTACTGCTGGACATAGGCCTCTCCTTGGAAAGGAGGTTTTGGCCTACTATACAACGCTGGCCAGGCGAGTTGGTACAGTGCTTGTTTCAAGTTTTCCTTTTATTTGCAGTGCTGTTGTCATCCGTAGTTTGCTCCCTTAGTTAAGTCTTATGACACCCACGGGATGAATAGGGGTGGTGATACTGCGTATTCTTAATCCGTCACCACATCAAAGGGGAATAATTCAACAGGCTTGAGAAACACACAAAATATTACTAACATGGTCAACTGCGTATCGCTGTCATTAGGGGAACTTGTTGTGCCACACAATAAGCAAAAAGGTTCCTTGGGTCCAACTCCCAATAAATATTTCAAGCACTGAAAACTAACATTTCACATTACGCTTGATATGTGTTGATGTTTAGAACAAATATACCGAGAGGTGTTGTAAGTGTGAATCAGAGACAAAGGCTTAAGTATTAAAAAAAAAAATTTCATTGATATGTGTGTGCATGGCAATTGATGCATTAAAATTCAAGCCAATTCAGCCTGGAATTTATTTCAGCACCATCTGGTGAAGACAAGATGAATGTGAAAAACTTATGTTGATAATAACATTTGAAACGTATATTATATAACGAGAAGCGAAGACGTGTCAAGACACGCGACGGTGGTTATTAAACAAAAACAAATGAACGCGTAATTAACGAATAACAGAAAAATTACTCAAGAAGGAGTAAATGGTTACAAACAGCTTACTGTTTGTAACGATTTACTCCTTCTTGAGTAATTTGGCATTGGCATACAAAGCTGAAAGTAGACTTTTAAAAGTACTAACGGTATATGATCATTCAGCCAATGACGAAACGTAAGTGAAGACTCAGTCGTGTATTTGTATTTTCTATGCAATTTTCTTCGCGCAAACTTCATGAATCCAGCTGTAAATTTTACAATTGCTATTAGTTTCTAGGTAATGGGTATTGTTTTCTATTATTTATTTTTGTTCAAGTATGATTGTAAGTGGGCAAAATTGCTGCCGCAGGCAATATTTAATAGTCAATTTTAGGATAATACATGGGTAAAAGATCATCAAGATCATGAGATCTTCAAGCTTGTCTTGCCCAAAATGGTTATAACTACCAAGAAGGGTTGGCGTTTGGTAGGTCGGCTATTACAGACATCAGCTAAAAGTATATTTCATATTGCGCCAACCCCCAAATAAATTTGGAAACAGAGCAAGGAGATGAATGTTGTTGATCTTTTATACAAATCTTCTAATTACCTCTAGTCCTTAGTATGTGGTTATACAACCAGGTAGCTCTAGCCTTGGCTCGTTCAGGCCTGTACTGGCCCATTATGAGGTGACGCAACCTCAGACCATACGGCTCAAAAAGAGCAAAGAACCATAGCAAAAAGATGAGGACACCTGGAGCAGAAGATAATACTTATGAAAAGGATAACTTGTAAGTTTGAAAAAATAGAATATTTCTGCCATCAAGAAGTGGGTTTCACTGCTATAACATTGTCAGCTACGATAAGTACCTAAGTAAGCCAGTAAGCCAAGTACCAATTTTATTTTATACATGACACATAATTTACATATAACACATAATACAATTATTGTCCGTGTGAATCCATCAGATTAAGAATACGTAGTGTTAACATCCGTAATCCGGATGTCGTAAGACTAAGGGAGCAAACTACGCAGAACAACAACACTGTAAAGAGATGGAAAACTTGAAATCAACCCGCCTAGCCAGCGTGATACAGTAGGCCAAAATCTTCTTTCTAAAGAGAGGCTTATGTCCAGCAGTGAACTAAGTAATGTTGATGATGATGAATACATTTATGTCTAGACCCTGTCGGGAAATAAATGATACGAGTAATTAATACGAAAATAACCCTTATTCCTATTAGATTAAACACACACATACCAATTTGAGTATATCTTCTAAAGTCTGGTGGATACGGATCAGGTAAGCACGGTATCAGAGAGGGCGATGGTTTTGCCAATGGTATAGTGAACGTGTCGACAATGGACCTAAATAGTCTCGCTACAAAACCACTGCCTGTGACGTGGGCACCCGAATTTGGTACGCCAGCTGGAAGAAAGGGTGAGGAACCTATACGACCAAAATCAATTAAAGATATTGAAGAAGTTTAGAATAGTCTCCATTCTGTGGCAAAATATTCGTGCGTTCCATGTAGAGGGTCATTCTATACGGCGGAGCGGGACCGGGAGAGGTTTAGAACTCTCCCGGCCCGCCAGGCCCGGGAACGGGCCAGGTACCGCAGGCGACTCAGGTGCCGTAGGTCGCAGAACGACCTCCGTCCTCCATAAGCGCAGGCCTGTGACAGGTGAGGCCATCTGTCACCCTAGTAGAAGCAGGCCGGGGTGGCGGCGAGCTTCCAGGGAGCAGAGGGAACATGAGGTTCCCACACGGGGGGGGGGGGGGGGGGGGGGGTCGTCTACTCGTCTTAGCCTCTCTAGCCTTATGAGAAGAACGGGCAAACAAACTTATGGCCACTCTTTTTAATGACAGCTAGATACAGTCGCATTATTAAATATATAACAATATTGTTCTAATCCGTGTGTCGACAGATTAAGACTACGGAATGCCACCACCCCTATTCAGCCCGTAGGTGTCGTAGGAGCCGACTAAGGGAGCAAACTATGCAGGACAACAGCATTGCAAAGAGAAGGAAAACTTGACACAAACCCTATACCAACCCGTCTGGCCAGCGTGGTATAGTAGGCCAAAACCTCCTTTTTAAGGAGCGGCCTATGTCCAGCAGGGGACTATTATAGGCTGTTGATGTGTGATGTGATGTTCTAGTGTGTGTAAATCAGAAGTGCGTTGCGTCCCTCCTTAGGGTATGTATGTTTCTTAGTTTCATTCTATGTAGAAATCGCTACAGGAACAAATCGAAAAAATGTATATTGTATTGTATTACTAACGCATTAAATTAGACTGGTACTGGCCATGGTACCGGATAGTCATCAGTACCCAGTAGAGGCTGTAGTCAGCCACTATGTGTATCAGGAGCTTAAACGTAGTGATCAACATGAACACCGCTGAACGGGTTAGGTACATCTTCTCAGACGCCACCAGACGAAATGACGTTGTCTGAAATGTGTTTTAGTCATGTACATAAAAAAAATTTAAGACACTCCCGCACTAATATATCCTGTGTCGCGGGCGACTACAAATATTCACGAAACGGACACGAAGAACACCCAGATTCAGAACAACAATTTGTTGATCAAACGAAATGTTCTTCCATGTGGGATCGAAACCACAACACTCACTGCAATAGGAAGCAGCGAGGTGACCGCTTCAAACCACTCATCTGTGTAGTCGAATTACTTACTAAAAGTCATTACTTTAAAAACAGTCTTACTGTCAAGTAGTAAATTGAAAATAATGTGCTTTATTGTTTGGAAGCCATCATGTCCAAACAATTAACTCAGAGTGGTGACGTGCGAACCGTGCGATAAAAACAGAACTTCTCTCCTTTGTTAAAAAATGGAATTATTGCCTTTTTGTTTCTTGAACTAACTTTTAAATATTTGCTTTCTATGACGTATTTAATATTAGCTTTTGGCGCTCCGCCCGCTTGTATGTCAGTTTTCGCGGTAAAAACTATCCTATGTTACTAGCAGATAAGCATTGGTAAAAGATTTTTTGCAATCGGTTTCGTGGTTTAGGCGTGAAAGCGTAATAAACAAATTTACTTTCACATTTATAAGTTTGGATTACGGTTTATTTACAGAATGGCGACATGGTTGTATTTGTTATGCTGCATGTTGAACCGAATTTATGATAAATATTGAAAACGTAACGGGCAGATAACGAACTTTCTACTTCGGTTTACGATTAGGATACGGATTTGCCAACAGATGGCTTGCAATACCTCGTCAGTTAGCCTGTGATGCAGCTAGTGCAACCTGCTCGAAACGTCAGGCATTTAAAGGTAATATATTTATAACGTGACGCGTTATTCATAATCAAACAATTATGGTTTCTATTTCTTGATCAAAAAAGACTATTTTACACTGCGGTTAATTAATTTTTATTTTTATTTAACAAAAAAAAAAATACAAAGGTGGACTTAATGCCGCAGGCATTCTCTGCCAGTCTACCGTGGGGTGCTGTAGAGATGAGTGATTAGGTGCACTAACCTCAATAACAAGACTTAACTAAGAAATACATACACAAATGCAGTCCTTAATTATATGCAGTCCTTAATTATTCCCTTAATCGACTATGGTGATGTGTGTTATTTCGACCTGAATGCAGACCTTCTCAATAAACTAGATCGCCTTCTCAACAACTGCATTCGATTCGTTTTCAATCTTCGCAAGTATGACCACGTGTCTGCTTTACGTTCCCAGCTGCAATGGCTCCCCATTCGTCAGCGCCGCACTTTACGAGCACTGACTTCTCTCTTTTCTTTCCTCAACTCTCCATCGTTACCTGAATACCTCGTACCCCACTTCCGTTTCCTATGCTCCAATTACGATCGAAATCTTCGATCAACCAACAATATGCTTCTTCTATGCCCCCCTCACACCTCCAACTTCATCAACTCCTCCTTCTACGTCCAGTCAGTTCTTCTCTGGAATGCCCTCCCTGCCGAAATCAGGATGTCAACAAATCGGCTTGCATTCAAGAGAAAAGTGCGCGATCTTCTTCGGGGTGAATTGGCGGAACAGTTACAGCGCTAGTACCCGACTGAGTATTTATATATTTTATTAAATTTATGTAGGTTTATGTATGCATGTGTGTTTTATATTACGTATGTTACTGGACCTAAAATATGTTAAATTTCAAATTTTATTTTGCACCTACCGCATCATATTTCTACATCACCTGAAGGTTGACTGGGAGAGAATTCCTAATGGCATTAAGTCCGCCTTTATACAACATGTGCATTAAGTTTAAAATAAAAATAAATAAATAAAACAAAAGGATACGCAAAAAAAATGTGGTAGAAAAAGTGAAGAATATTATTAAAACTTTCTTACAAACATACATACACCTCCACATATATACATTCGTAAAAACATATACACACATATATATACATACATACCGACTGCCGCAACGAACAGTATCGAACCTACAAATTACATACTTTACAGTACAACTGTTTAAAACTTTATTTTGATCTATTATGATTAATTATATTGATGTAATAAAAGTTATGCCCTTATAAGATAGCTTATTTTATGTGTTTTCGTTTGCCTGTACCTGATTTAAATATTTCATTTGTGTTTTATATATTTTTCATATTCGACGGTATACCTTGTTATCATCAACTGCAATTTCATCGAAAGTGGCAGATTCCATAATATTCGTGGTTTACAAAATTATAAAAAATATCGAATATACCAGTTTCGATATTGTTCTTTGATAAAATCTATGTACAAATCTAAAGTTTTGATACATTTCAATAGTTGGTTCATATATGTAATTTTTTATAATAGTTACCTTTTGAAGCAGGAGGAGGAGGTACCAAAATTAAATACAAGTTTTGTATTTTAAATAAGGCACATTTATTAATAATGCAACAAAAAATAGCCATCTTAGCTTGAGATCGATTAAGAGTAACGTACGAGTACATACTTATACAAAACGAATCAAATTATGCATCACAGAATTAAATCACACTACATAAACTTGTTTAAATTAATACTTTGTACTAATACCCTAACAAAATTAAGTCATATTACGTAAATTAAACAATCCTACCATGTAAATTAACATACCTACTCGTATGTGTTCAGTCTTGTTCTCGTAGGTAATTATTACAAAATTAAATAAAAATCCCTTCATTGGGTTTTTAACAAAAAATAAATGCTAACAAATGCTGATTGCTCATAAAAAAAATGTAAAAAAAATACTTTCATAAAAATCTATTTAGGCTATTTAAGTCTAATATCTAAGTATCTTCATCACTTCCCGAAACATTTTCAATGTGACACCTTTTAAGATTTAAAATAAATGTGTGGTATTGCTTAGGTATAATGTCCTGCTTCACAAAGACTCATTAAGTCTTTATATTTAGCTTCCGGAATTGGCAAACTATCTGAATATAGTGGCGTCTGCTTCTTGTTGTGTATGACCAGACTCCAGAAATCTATGAGTAATATCAATATTAAATTTGTTACTTGCGTACATGTAAAGACTGTATAACACTATTACGATTTTGTCCATTACAGTTGTCCGACCAAAACCTCATATCTAGTGCATCTCTAGATACCTTACGTTCAATGAAATCTAACAAGCAACTACCTTACCTCGTTTGCTCCTCGTTTACCAACATTTTGTGGCCATAAATAGCAAAAAGCCTCTTTAAGCCCAGCGTCGAAAACTGTCAAATGCATCAGTGATAACTTTATTTTATAATAAAAAAGAGACACTTCGCCAGAAGGGTAGTTCAGTAATTTCTGGAAGTCGAATGTAGCGCAAACTATTTTTGATGCACTTTGAATGGATTCTTCTTTATCTCTTTTTCGTTTCCTTATTTGAAATGTGTTTGTTATGATATACGGACAATATTTCGATATTGTCTTTCAGTCTCTGCTTTGTTATTATATTTAGATAATTCAGACCAATCTTTGTACATTTCAAACATCTTATTGAAACTCAAAGAGTTGTCTAAATACAATTTACTGGTATTTTTTCTAGTGTAGTGAGATTCAACGGGTTGAAAAAACTTTACGTGGTCAGTAACACTTCGTATCATCTCGCCGTCCACCTTTTTTGGGTGATTTACATGTTTCCCTCTATTGTCACTGCTAGTAATTCCACAAGCATCTAATTTGCTGTGTGCTGTGCGAATTGTTTGATCACTAATAGCAAGAGTGCCACAGTACATCTTCAAACACACTTGCTGAGCCTCGTAGGTGGAATCATTGGCAGGCAAAGGTAAGTAATATTTTGTAGTAAATTTTCTTCTAGATTGTTTATCAGTTGTCATTCTTCGAATCTTTTAGTAAATTTGTTTATATATTGCCACTGCTTAGTGTAATCGGATAACCGACAAAACTCATTAAAAATGTTTTTTCGAATTTCTTTACTAAAATATTTAGTGCATTGCAGCTTGCAGGTATAAGGACATGGTGGTTTAATGATTTTAGCTGGAACGGTTTTACCTTTTTTTGAAACATATTGTTGCCCAGAATTATACAACATTTTTGTACGAACATCAACCCACTCTTTGACATGTCGTTTTCGTTTACGACCAGGATAAATTTTGTGTGTTGGTATGCGCTTGTGTGAAGTAGATAAAGTAGGAGTAATACAGCAGTCATTGTCGGATGTCGAAATCAGTGAACTTATACTTGGGATGTTTACTGGGTCGTCAGTTACAGATGGCGTTGTTTCATCATTTACTGAACTGACTGAAGATCCCGTAGGCGTCCCTACAGGATCTTCAGTCAGTGGTGATCCGAAATGAAGGTCTTGTGAGGAGAGAGGTGAAGGCATTGGTGTACCTTCTTCACTGGCAAGTATAATATTGTGGTAGTCATTTGCCAGACTCTCATTAGTCTTGTCTTCGTCGGCTTGTGAAGTGGGAAACACATCATATAGTCGTTCTAATGTACAGGAGATTCTAAAACAAAAAAGAACATAAGTAATTTAATATCTTACTTGAATTATTAGATGAAAAGAAGACCAAATAAAAAACTGTAAACAATCGAATATGTAAATAAGTCTCATCTTAAAAGTATTCAGCGTAGAATAATATAGTAACTGGTAGATTCGATAAATGTTTTCCATAGTATACAATCGAAAGTATTACATTCGATAAATGTCTTACTTATAATGTACACGTATACTATCGAAAATGCCACTTTCTATATTTGTCAACAATAAGTACACTTGGAACACTATCAAATCTACCACACTCGATAGTTTAACTTGCTAACCGCCATGTGGACACGAATAAATCATAATTATTAGTTATTTCAAAAGATCGAAGAACTAGACATTAAAATAAAACATATTTTCAATATTACATAAATAAATTGTAAAGAAAATGTACACTTACCGGGATGATCGTAATTTTTATCGTTGGGTGTGGTATCACAACTCTGATGTTGTTCTCTTTTTTTAACTAAATCAACCATACATCTACCTCGACTATTCATTTTGAAACTTATAATAAGAAATAACAAAACACTAATAACGAAACTATGAAATATAAACTTCTTAAAACTAAACGAAAACAACCCACGCTTCCTCTCTCACATGACGGCGAACACTAACGATTCAGGCAGTTACGGAGTGTGCGCGCGTATCGACACATACGAACACTATCGAACTTGTAACATTCGATGATGTTCGCAGCTGAAAGTGTCAAGTATCGATTGTATTCGACTCAAAACTTGTTTAAATACATTTATTTTCAAAATTGTTTTTATTGTTTCTAAAACTATATTATATGCACTATCGATTGGTACAATAAAAAAAATAATGATTTTTTTCAGAATCGATACTGTTCGTTGCGGCAGTCGATACATACATTTACAGAATTCGTAAAATATATTAGGTATTAATCCAATGATAATGTAGCATCTTTGTGTGTGAGGAGAGCTCTCACTTTGCCTTAAACGAATGACGACTGAGTGCCATTCTGATTCAATTTGTTTCATCTTTTTAACTCTGGTCACATTTCATTCAATATTACTATTTTTAGTTACCGTGATATATTTAGCACGTTCTCTCCTATTTAACGGTAGAACTGTCTCTCGTCCCTGACGTTGCCTCTTCAGGTCTAATTCTTGTAACTCCTTAGTGATGTACCTGTTGTCGAAACGAGATCTAGTTTCGTACATGTGTTGGTAGTATTTTGCCCTGAAAAAAGAAAAAGAAATAGAAGCAAGGTCTCCAAGACAGAGGAGATATTTCAAGAGCGTGACGTATTGAAGTGACGTGACGCGACGCGTTGAAGACAGAGGAGATATTTCAAGAGTGACACGTGAACGTGGAAGCGCTATGCTTCGGCGCATATTTGCCGGTCGGTTATTCTTTCGATGCATTTCAGTGACAGACTGAGGTTATCGAAGGCCAAAACCTCTCTCCATAAGTCAGAAACTCTCTGATCCCCATGAGATGATAAGCACTCAAACGGCAGCTATGCACTCAGGACTTTAGAGTTGTAGGTGTCCATGGCAGACAGCAGTCACTAACAGGTAAACTGTCCGGACGTTGCCGACCTAGGACAGAACAGGACAGTTGACAGAATTCATTTTTCCGAGATACACACGTATATGTGTACTCTTAGAGAATAGAAGACTCACACATTGGCACCATGCAGGATATTCAAGACAATACGAAACAAAAATATTGATGTATTGTTTTACTCCAGAGATCTGTATACCTAAATATAATAAGCAGCAAGAACAAGCTAGTCACGCACGAGCTCCAGGACAGCCAGGTCAGGAGGGGGCCAGTCCTGTTTCGGATTTCAGTGACGATGCCGGCAGCCATCTGACTCGCGCTTCGGGTGTTGTTGCTTTTGAAGGCGTACGAGCGATGGATGTGAACTTCCACGTGGAAAAGGGCCCGAACCTGGGCAGTAAAGTCCTTCAGCTCTGAAATAGAATTGCTTTTGTTACAAAAGTCTATGAAAGTTAAAATGGCAATTCTAAAAGCATCTTGAAAAATCTTTGATGGTAATTTTGGAGGCTATGTCTATAAATTTGGAAATACGGAACAGCTTACTACGATATTATTTAATAAAACAAATATCTTTAGTTTTATATTAGTAAAAAGCACAGTATTCCATCCAAGGAAAACTTGGTGGGTTTATTTTAAAGGTAAAAACCAGGTATCAATCATTCTCGACGTGCTGTGATTGTTATTAATCCACTAAGAGTACCACTTAAAAATTTGTGACTCTTTTCTTGATAATATTATACAGATTTATTTGCTGTGTACTGAATAGTCTAATTCCTCAAGAGTCCTCTAAATAAATCAAAAATGTTTTAATCAATTCCGGACATTCCATAAGCAGAGTTAAACGTAAATTCTTAATTTAGCTCCGTCTATTCGCGTGCACGGGAATGTCTGGTATTTGATCGATTTGGAGCGCGTCAACTTAAGTTCACCATTAGGTAACAGATTTACTTTGTATACCTATAATAACTTTCCTATGTAGATAAAGGCATTTTTATAGAAACGGGGCAAGTGCGGTGTGTGTGTGTGTGTGTATTGGGGGAGGGGAGGGGGGTATCTCTGTGTGTTGCCCCCTTCAACCGTCAAGTCAGGTAAACTATCGAAGGTCCCCCTCTGCTATACTACTAAAGGCTAAAGTGACAAAGGTGTGTATTTACCCGGTGTTCAATAAAGAAGATTCCCGAAAGCTATATGAAAAAGGTACATTTAGTGTCATTTACAAAAGATCATAACTCCAAAACTCACTTTTTCGAATATTCGCCAGTATGGCATCATCCATGAAATCCGTTACACAACAAAATGCTTTAAAAGGCTTTATGGCGCCACACACAAACTCCGCCAAATATGGCATGCTGTAATGCACAGCGATGTTGGGTTCAAAGTTCGTGGTGCGGTCAGCCATTCCTTCTCGTAGTAGCGTAGTACAACGATCGTACGGAGACCCCAGCTTTTCGTTGCAGATATTTGAGATCGCTTGAAGCCAGGAAAAAGAGTATTGGATGAGGCCGACTGAAAAGATTTTATTGTTGAATAATTATTGAGTCTCTTTATATACTAACTTTTAATACCCCTTTGAATTTTCACACGATTGCGATGAAAAAAAAGGATGTATATGTCTTCGACCTGTGAGGTAAACTGGGGGTTCATTTCCCAGTAGTTTCATGGAGTCAGTTCCACATGGTACTTTTGTAATTTGTATTTTAAACGGCAAATTATACCCAGTATTTTTATGACGTCAGTTGCAACTATGTTTGTTCCATATCAAGATACTAGCTATTTTCCACGGGTTCGCGCGTGTGATTATTTCTAATTTCGTGTTTTTTTTTATTAATTATATATTAAGGACAAGAGAACGGGGTAAGCCTTTTTCCTACTTACCTACCTACCTGTTTTAAGTACGATATCATAAAAGTCCTGAAAGCCGTATCTCATTGTCATCACTTTTAGAAGAATATTTTAATTTAAGATTCATATCCATAGCAGCAACAATACTGACACTTTCATACTAACTTTAATTGCTGTCTGCTATTGCATCTACGAAGACCCTGTAGTATTATTTTTCATGTACAATATCACCTCTCTTATAGCTTTTTTGACATTAATAAAATAAACAGTCATTATGTTTTTTTCAGAAAAAAAACAATCAATGTAAGCTGTAAAAGTAGTATAAAATTACATGGAACAAATGGGAAAAAACTTATTTCTAATGTTACATCAGTACCATGTGGAATAACAAAACCATGTGTCTTCATGGGGAATAAACCAAACTGGGCATAGGCGGGCCAGCGAGCAGATGTACCGCCGCTCGTGAAATCTTGCTACTCACGCGTCGCAACTGGGTTATCGCTAATGTGTTAGTAATATCATCATCATCATCATCTGCCTACCCTTTTCCCAATTTTATTTGGGGTCGGCGCAGTATGTATGATTTTATACTTATACTGCATTATAGTGGTTTTGGCTAATTAATTTTTATGGCCGGCCGCCTGCCTGTCGCCAACCCTCCTTGGGAATGTAGTCGTTTATACGATAGGGAAGGGAAAAAAGGAAACATCAGGGGTGAGGGGATTGGATGAAAGAGGAAAATTAGGGTGGGGGAATACCGCAGTACTAGGATGGGAGACAGGACTTAGACTGCGGTATGTACCAATATCCAGCGGTTGGAGAGGCCACCAGGACAAGTACCGCACGAACTGTATATATACTGTCTGATGATAAACAGTCCAAAGATTCCCTCAGTCGCCTTTTACGACACCCACGGGAAGAGATGGGTTGGCCTTATTCTACTCCGCCGAGAACCACACGGCACATGTGTTAGTAATATATGTACTTATATTTCGCTTTTAATCCTTAATTAAACACACGTTGTCATGCGTACAACCAAGGAATTGTCTTTTTCGATGTATCCCGTGGTACTTGTCATTCATCATCATCATCATCAACAGCCTATACTAGTCCACTGCTGGACATAGGCCTCTCCTTAGAAAGGAGTTTTTGACCTACTATACTACGCTGGCCAGACGGGTTGGTATAGGGTTTGTTTCAAGTTTCCAACCGAGACCCGAATCGGTTGAAAAAATCCACATTACACATACAGAAACTAATTTGTATAAATCATTACTGTAGTGTTTTAATTCTTTCAAGATATATAACCATGAATTGAACTCACCAATGCTGAACACGAGCCTGTTCAGTCTCAGTACCATCTGTTGGACTCGCGTAGTGATCACCTTGAACCGATCTATCATCAGCTTAATCGATTCCTTCATCGAGTTGTGTGGTTTCTTTGATAGATCATTCAGATGGTGAACACTGGTTTTTATTTGCTCCTGGAATTGTGTTTTTTATACGAATAAACTTTCAGCTAATACAATTTTTTTTTTGTGTTAACATATTTTCACTCGCCTTTCGGCAATCTCGTCATCCGCCGAGTCTTTTTCCCAAACTAGATTGGGAACTTGTTTTTACGTAGAGCGACTGTCATCAGACCTCCATAACTCAAGTACTAAGCGATATCGAAGTTCTGTACAAAGACTGATGTCGCACTTTTTAGAGCTCCAACTATCCGTAACGATTGCCATGTTCATATGGAAACCAGGACCGACTTAACATCCTCTCCGAGGTACGGAGGGGTCTCAATGTGATAAGAATCGTCACCCATCCATAGACTAACCTAGGTAGGATTGTTTAACTTTGTAACGTGCTAACCCACTCGGCTATCATATTTTAGCCACAAGCCTCTGTTTTTCTGAAATCTATGGGAGTTATTTCGCGATCAGGAACAGAAAAGTATGACTTAATTTACTCAGGACTTGATGATATATTATTATTGATGATATTCCGTGTGGTGACGGATTAAGAATACAGAGTGTCACCACTGTGACACTCTGTATTCCAATGACACCAGGCACTGCAAAAAGAAGGAAAACTTGAACCAAACCCTATACCAACCAACCCGTCTGGCCAGTGTGGTATAGTAGGCCAAAACCTCCTTTCTGTCCAGCAGTGGACTATTAGAGGGTGTTGATGATGATGATGATTAAGTGTCTATAAAATCAATCACAATTCTTTTTATCAAAGATAACGACCTTTTTGGACCTTCGCGAGTCTTGCGCTAGCGTAATATGTGGCAGTGGTTTTGTAAATCAGTCCCAGGTGTGATGTAATAATTTTTAAATCATATGATTTATCATATGTGATTGTTATTTGATACCATCCCTAGTCCCTACCATACTTCGATTATGTGAAAGTGAGTTTGTTTGTTACGCTTTCACACATAAGCCACTTAATCAATTTAAAAAATTCTTTCACCAATGGAAAACTACATTATATACATATGTAGCCATATTCATAATTTCAAAATTCTTGTTAAAAAATAATAATATTAGATGTATTAAAAATAGATGTTGGCCGATTCACGAAAATCGGTCGAACCGTTTCGGAGGAGTTCAACCACGCACACCGTGACACGAGAATTTTATATCTTAGTTTACTCGCAGAAGATAAAAAACTTAACAGTTAACTTAAAATAAGAAACTAAATACTTAAAATAAGTAACAGACTACTTTTTTTACCACAATAACCGACATACACGCAAGCGGAACCGTGGGCAAAAGCTTACACAAAATATAATAAATATTTTAACTTGTTTCAGAGAGATATGACGGGAGAAGTTATTAATAGCTGTTAGGTAGTCTAGCTCCATGTATTAGGTACATGACCTCAGACGTTTTTCCCTCGATTCAGTAGTTGTCTAGCCAGTAAATTCTTAAGCCCAATTTCTCCGTATGTTTCCGATAATATATCACCGTCCCAGACAGTTGTAAATCAATGTAAATTTTTTTTCTTCTCTCAAATCTGAACTTACAAGGTTAAGCACCTATCATGTATATGTGTTATGAAGGAAACTTTGGTATTTATGATCGTCTAACGCAAACAAGCGTTACTCTGAAAATTTAAGAAATATTTTCGTTTCAATTTTTATTGCTGTCTACTTTTAGTTCGTAAAACTCTGACTTTATGATTTTCTGGAATAGTTTCTGTGTGAAGGTTTCGTGGCTAAGTGGTAACCGAGTACGTGAACACTTTGCAAAGTTAACCAATCCTAGTCAGGTCAGTGTATGGATGGGTGACCATTCTTAACACATCGAGAGCACCCCTCCGTGCCTCGGAGAGGTGGTGGTTAAGCCGTTGGACCCGGTTGCCATACCAACATCTCTGGCAATCGTTACGAGTAGTTGTAAAAGTACGACAATCTTTCTACAGAACTTCGATATCGCTTTGTAGTTGGGTTATGGAGGTCCGAAGGCAGTCGCTTTATGTATAAAAAATCGAAGTGCAGCCACATTGCCGACCTAACCTAGTTTGGAAAAAAAAGGCTCGGAGAAAGTAAGAAGTTTCTGTGTCACAAGGGCCCCAATTTACTTTATGTTCTTACAAGTTTATTGTTATCACTATCACTTGTTCGGTGTCTAAGTGTTATTTATCTATATATGTAAGTATTTAGAAATATATAAGTATGTTTATTTAGATATATATGTGCGCGGTTGACGGCGATAGGCTTGCCACCTATTTACGTTAGTGGAACTAACATTTTTGACGGCAAATAGTGGGCGTTTTAATATGCTTCTAACCCTTTATGGGAAAAAGACATGTGTATTTATACAAGTTTTGTTAATTCATTCGTATTTTTATATGTTATACAATGATACTACATTTCTTCAAAAAGTTTCAAGATACGAATACTTTACAGATATTTTTCAAATACAAATAAAATAATACTTATTATTAAAATAACGTAGCATTATTGTTAATTCAATTGATAAAGTATGCACAATAAGTACAGATGTGGAAAAGAAGAAAGTCGATCCATGATTAAGTATATAAATATATTTATAACACAATGACAAAGGGATCTTGCCTATCGTATATTGCTTAGATGGATATGGCCAAACAGGGAGTAAGTAGTAAACTGACGAGTCATAGAGGAGAATGGAAGAAAAAACTCATTTCGCAGACCCCAAATACATTTCAGAAAACGGCAAAAAGGTGATGATGATTGTGGATGAGCCTCTGATGTCATGTCCCTCTAAATCAAATAGAGGATCCTGCGACCAGGCGAGGTGATCATGCCTGACGGCCAAACGGTTGATGTTGGGAAATTATGTATATGCTAATTGAAGAGAGTATTATTCATATCGCGATACAGGATTGTCAGTTACTCCGTAGTTCGGTTTGTCTTCGTTAGATGGCGCTGTGGTATGTTTTTTGTTTCACTGTATGTAATAATATAATAATAATATTCTACCGCATTCACACACGCCATCTAGTCCCAAACTAAGCAAAGCTTGTACTATGGCTACTAGACAACTGATATAAATACATAATACTTTTTTTTTTTGTAAATACATACATATTATACATAGAAACACCCAGACCAAATCAAACATTAAATTGTTCATGCACACAAATGTTTGACTTGAGCGGGAATCGATGCCGCGACCTTTGGAATAGCAGAAGTGGAACTGGAAGTCGTCACAATGATGGTGGATTGGGGACTGTAAGCAATAGCTCGAAGGGGTCAATGTAAACTGCCTGATGTAGGGAAGTCCGTGATCTCTAACCAAAGATAAGATAATTTAAAAAAAAACTACTGAATTAATTGAAGACTAACTTGTGAACAAGCCATGGATTCAGACAGAACTTCGGAGTTTTTTAACGTGTTCGTAGCAGGTCCCGTTAGTATAAGCACCAGCGCATAACATGTTAAAGTATACCTGCCGACTCTAGAAAAGAATTGGGGTATCAAAAGAAATACCAGACACCTGAAACAAAAGACGATAGTTAGAATAGAATAATCTTTGTCTATGTCCAGCAGTGGACTAGTAAAGGCTGTTGATGTGTGTGTGATGTGAATCTTTGTCGTATTTATGCTGAAATTGAAATTAATAACGAGAAGAACGCTAATTATATCTTTTCTTAACACAACAAATCTTATAGAAAGAGTCGTATATCGTCGTCGATGTCGTAAAGCACATCCTGATTGGTGGAGTCCTTCAGGTGAATCGTGCCGTTGTGATTTCTAATCATGTGATGCAGGAAAATACTGATACATGAGAATAGTGGGACATACCTTATTCTGTAGCTAAAAGCAAGACCCAAAGTCAATAGCACTCCAATAATAGAACTCATTATTGTTGAATGAATCAGTGATATGGACAGCTGGAATACGAAGAACATAAAGCAAATGTACGTCAGTATTATCCCTCCAACGAAACCCATCAAACTTTTTAAAAGAAAGTTGGGGAAGGTTTGATCAGTTTTCAGGTACAAAAAAAAGTTTGCCACTCCGCTGCCTTCGGGATACCACTTTTTAAAAGTACTGGATATCCGTTTCTGGGTATCATAGCGATAGTGCCGCCATCTCTGTGAAAGAGTTTGTTCCATTCTTGTGTTTCCCATTACTATGGAGTTGATTTTCTCCTTTTCGTAATTCAGTTTGTACTTTTCTATAGTTCGCGCCTTCCAAAGAAGGGCGAAGAAAGCCATGGTTAACGGCTTTATTCAGCATTTATAGCAAATGTTTTCTTCTTAACAGTGCTAAAACACATTTTTTGTGCCGATATAAAACCATCACGTTGTAAAATGACATTTGACAGAACAATGAATTTAATTCTTTTCTGTGACCAACCAGCTCAGCTTTTTGAAAAAGAAAGTTCGAATTAGTAAATATAATAACTACCTATTTCGGTTTTCGTTGTAGTACGGAAGATTTGTTAAAGAAAGAAAGAAAGAAAGAAACATTTATTTGCAGAGAATACAGGTGGTACCAGATTTTATAAAGGTGTATAATGTTCAAGCTATATTCTGCCTGTACTAGGCATGCAAATATTTTTATAGAGACTCAAAACATTAACTAATGATAACTATTAACTAATAAAATTAACAAAATGTCAAAAATAAAAATAAAAATATTACATAGAAATTATTAAATTTATTGAATTATTATATCTAATTTATTAAATCTACAAATGATCATTTACATCAGTTTTGTATTGCATGAACTCTTTCATTGTATAAAAGCACTTATCAACTAGCCATTTTCTTAACTTAATTTTAAAATATTTAAATGGGAGTTCCCTAAGGCTCTTAGGAAGTTTATTAAAAACTGAAATGCACATGTGATACACATTCTTTTTCATCAAAGATGTTCTACAAAATGGAATCATTATTTTCGTAGGATCTCTTGGTCTGTATTTAGTAACATGATCCTCTTAGTAGACGGGAGCAAACATTGTGGCCATGACTTACGGGGCCATTGACACAGCCTGCATCACATGTCTATCACCGCACGAAAACTACATTTTACACTAATTACAGACATGTAAATTTATCTTCATCCTCTTAAGTTCAGTATTTCAAAGAATTTATTTTACATAATAGTCTTGCTACTGTTCGTTCCCCAGTACCTTCAATAGGTAATGATACTAATTACAATACATTCGATTTTCTTTAGACAAAACATTAAAGAGCGAATTGCTACAGTTAATTTAACTAACGCTTTGCTAAAATATTTGTACAGGAGTTTCATTATTTTCAATATGTACCAAAAGTAAAAACAATAATTAAATAACCAGCGTATGATAACCCTGACTTTAATTAAGCTTATAATATTCTCAAAGAAAAAGTAATCGAAATACAGTGACAATGCAATCTGTTGTTAAAGTTCGTTTAAAAGTGAACGCATCCATAAATTTTCAAAGGAAGTATTTTATTTACAGTAGATTGTTTCTTTGTAGACCACAATTGTAGTACACTAAGAGCTATATATATTACAGGACATTGAAAAGTTCAACAATAGCTGTGAAGTTCATTGACTCAAAATTGTCAATAATAAAATTAAAATGAACTTGCCCTGTACGCGTTATTACAGTTCTGCGCAAGACGTCCAACATGCGCAGATCACTGCAATGCTACAAAATCAACTTCACTCCATTGCCTCAAATACCGTGAAAAGATAATCTTTTTTTGCAAATAAGATCTACACGATATAATGCAAATTTTACCGTGTGCTAGTGATTGTTAGTGATAGTGTAAAATAATTTCCCAATGTTTTCGGTGATCGTTCCACATTTTAAGTAATTAGTATTCACTGAAGAAAACGTAAGTAAATTAAAGTCTTGCTGTATCATTGTCATATTTTTGAATAGAGGCTGAAAGTTTTCTATTAGAAAATAATATTAGAATATCAATGTTTTCAGATATTTGTTAAATACATTCGCAATTTTAATTTATTCTATATCATGTTACACAATGTAAAGTCAATAAAATACTTTAGCATGTTTTTTTTATGCCATAATTTTATGGTTGTCATAAAAAAACGGTAGAATACAATGTTTTCACCATAATTAAGCACGATTATATCTAAAGTAATGTTTGTAAATTGTACTTTCAGTAAAATGTTAAACTTTACGAAGCAAAGTTACGTTCTTTATGAACGCAGTCTAAGTTTTTCAAAAAAGTAATTTACCGCTGGCCTATTGTCAAAACCGGATGACACTTTCAAAATATTTGTTGTTATAAACAATTGATATTTGATGATTTTATTAAATTTTCTTGTGTTTGAGAAAGATGATGACGAACTTTCTTTTGTTTCTATATAGTTAGTGGAAATTATAAGTTAGTTTTAAAATAGCAACAAGGAACAAAAACACGCTATTATTAGTCGTCTTATAGATTTTCGTAATTATAGTACCTAACCGGTTATTTTATTATTATACGATAGTAACATAAACTCATTTAAGTATCACATCAACAGCCTTTATTAGTCCACTGCTGGACATAAGCCTCGCCTTAGAAAGGAGGCTTTGGCCTACTAAGTATATTTTTAATGATTTTCAAATTATAGGTAGGCTAATTAAGCTGACTGTGTCTTAAACGCATTTGCTGTTACCTTTAATTATTTTTACTTTGTCTGTTTATAAAACAATACTCTTTTTTGGTCAGATTAATTTGAATCAAGATGCTGACTTCATGTATATCTTGGGAATGATTCATCACTTGTTTTAATAGTGAAAATACTGATACTTACAGACCTGAGACACCCCTGTAAAATTCTTATTGGCCTTGTTAAGTCTTCCAATGTCCATTATAACAATAAATAATTGTATACTATAAATGTAGCTCTATAATATAAGGAAGAATCTGCTAGTTAATAAGCTGATTCCTTCACTAAGACTGTGGTAATATATTATAGACCAAGTTACAAGCAACATGTTATTGCAATGATAGGCATTCATTATGAAATGTGTTGTGTTGATATGTTGTTAATAGTTTGGCAAATAAATAATTCCAAAATGAAATTGAAATTGCAGTTACATAGACATGAAAAATTTATAAATAAGTCTCTATTTGTTTGGTGATCTATGCAGTGGTAAGTGATTGACTATTAAGCGCTAGTTGGGTTCGATTCCTACCCACCACAAGTAATTTTGTGGTGAAGTTGATCCTTCATGATCATTTTTCGGTTTGGTTTAGGGTAAACAGAGATATTGCGGCTATCGTGCGGAGCGAGAGTGTGTGGAACTCTGCCGTCTCCTTCTGCGAGCAAGTTATGCTCGCGAAGGAGACCGCGGAGCGGGACCGTGAGAGGTTTAGGACTCTCCCGGCCCGCCAGGCCCGGGAACGGGCCAGGACCTCCGTCCTCCATAAGCGCATGCCTGGGGGTGACAGGTGAGGCCATCTGTCACCCTAGCAGAAGCAGGCCGGGGTGGCGGCGAGCGCCTTGCGAAGCGCGCTCGCTTCCAGGGAGCACAGGGAACATGGGGTTCTCACACGGGGGGGGGGGTCGTCTACTCATCTGTAGATGACCCGAGGTATGTCGGGGCACCAGGGACTTCCTTTCTAGGGTATACCTGGTTCCCCGGCTATTAGTACCCGAGACGGCGTGCGGTTTTAGTCGGTTCGAGTCCGACATGCCACCGACAGGTGGTATCCGAGGGGATTTCAGCACGGAAAAAAAAAAAAAAGGGTAAACAGAGATGACACAACACAATTTGCAATGATCCTCACATACAGCTCTTAACTATTTTTGGACAACTTTTTATGTACAATCATTAGTTGGTGGTGTTTTGGTTGTGTTTTTCATTCATTATTTTCATCAGTCGGTTGTGTTTTTTTACAGTACTCCTTCTTTTTTTTGTGCAGAAATCCCTTCCGATACTACCTACCAGTACTCCTGAACTAAAATGTTTGTAAAGTCCCGTGCAACACATATGCCTTTCGGGGCATATCTGCACCATCTCGTTACTTCCAGAAGCTTTATAAACTTCTTTAGACATCTGCTCTTTGCTTCTCTTCTTCTGAACATGTTCAAAACATCTTAGCATCCTTTTTTTTATTACTTGCCACTACAAATTCATTAAATCAATTCAATTTAGTAATGAATAAATAGTTTTTTCAGCGGTCTGATTTCCATAGTACAGGGTCAGACTAGTTTGAGATCAGACACTTGTAAGATGTGTCCAGTTATTACTTCTTTCAAATCAAATCAAATCAAATTTATTTTTGTAGAAAACACTGTTACAATGGTTTTATGAATACATAGTTAAGTTTCAAGTGATTCTACCCTAAGGCATAATAAGCATAAGGCCTTTGAGATATTTTTATATACTTAAGGCTTTTGAATACTAAGAATATTGATCATCACTAAAATAAAGATATCATGTCTCCGTTATTATTTAATTTCAGCTAAACTTCTGTTTAATTAGTGCATTTATAGGGAGTTTTAAACGCTCATACCCATCCATAGACTGACCTGGATGACTGACCTGACTTGACTGACTGACCTAGGATTCCTTAACTTTGCAGTGTGTAACACCTATATATCTATGTATGTAAAATCTATAAGCCGTAGATGGCCTTTTTTTTTTTTTTTTTAACGTGTGGAAATCCCCTCGGACCGTCACCCCTCCGGGGTTTGCGGCGGGGTGGTGTGTCGGACTCGGACCGACTAAAACCGCACGGTGTGCCACTCTGCGCCTGTAACACATCTGTAAGACATCCGGACCCCTCCTAGCGCCAGCCCGCTCCTGGTGCGGGCTCCGTCTCAATATATTTTCCTCTCTTTAGGCGACGTCCGGCACACGCGGACGCCGCCCCCTCGCGGCTGGCCAAACTAATGCGGGTGGAGGGGAAACCCACCCCGTCCACCCGCGGCCACACTCAGGGCGGCATGAGGCTGTGATAGGCGGGCCTCCGCCGCCGGGTTCGCCGGCGGCGGATCGGGTCCGAGTGGAGGTCGTCCTCCCGGGCCCTCTCCGCCGCCTCCTACCGCGAGATTACTACCTCGCAGAAGGTTGCGACCGCGGTAAAACAACTGTCGCTACCGGCCATGGAGTGTACTACGGCCGGTAGCGAGAGATCCACTCCGATGACTGCAGTGAGGGCCCGGCGCTGCGCCGCCCATGCGGGGCAGACCGCCAGCGTGTGCTGGGCCGAGTCCTCACTGCAGTCGCAGTGGTGGCAGGCGGGACTCAGTTCCCCCCTAG